TGTACACCAGTCTGTTTTATGGATCCGTGCTCGGAAGGCCCAAAAGTCAATGGCGGCAGCCAGAAGGTCCATGCCTTCTGGTCCATGCCAGCGGGGTGAAGGAGTTATGCTGGTAAGTTAAGGGTTCTACACTGGAACTGAGAAGTCACACTCAAAACAAAGACCAGGATTATCCTGAAAAGCACCACAGTCATCCTCAGCAACAGGGAGGTCCCAAGCTCCTCTGACGATAACAGTTAATACATGCCAGGAAGCCAGCATAACAAGCTTCTCCTGAAACAGCACACATCTTCCCCACTGGAGCCAGGAAGTGATGCTCAGAGCTTCCCCAAAGTGAACCACAGCCACTCTCACCAACAAGGTCCTGAGCTGCTGTGATGACAATGGTTGAACTCACACTGGGGAAGCCAGCATGACTAGCTCTCCAGGAGAACCAACAGCTCAAACAGCAACACTTAGAGAAACCCACAACGCCCAGCTCTTTTTCTCCACATCTCTACTTATGCTGACAACTTTCCTCAGGTGGCCATCTACACTCAACACCATGCTGAGTTAATTAAGCTGGTATTAAGTTGACCACTAATTTTTAATCCATAACATCAGCACCACGGCCTTTCACCATGGTGCCTGAATTTCTGTACTGTCACGCCCAGGTGATGAGTCTGTCCACTCACTGAGAAAAGGGACAGATCTCTGTGAAGTGACGAAACAGACCAGTCACAGCCAACTTGGTCACAAGACTCACCTGAGACTCAGTCTGACAAGAGCATAACCCTTGTGTTCTCCAGGACTGCCCAGCAGGGCTGGGACCCAGGTCTTTGAGTCCTGTGTCAGGGAGACTCATGGCTGCCACCAGGACTGAAGGCTCGGCTCAAGCCATTCCAGAACTCCCTCACGGAGGAATCCAGCCGCAGACAAACACGATGGCAGATGGAGCTGAAACATGTCTTCGTTACTTTCTCATTGCTGGGACAAAATACCTGACACTCACAAGTTAAAAGAGAACTGAGTTTTTATCTCACAGTTTGTAGAGGTTTGGATCCATGGCAGAGGAGACATAGTCGATGACAGGGGGGCAGGAGGCAGCAAGCAGTGAGCCTCCCTTTCCCTTCTATCTCCTCTAGGCTCTAAGCCTATTGGAAGATGCCACCCTCCTCCAAGGTGGGCCTTTCTGTTACCCATACCCAGAACTATGATAAGCCAAGCATTCAACTGAATCAGTTACCACCCACCCTAGAGCAGTGATGGAAAACCTTTCAGAGCTTTAAATGGTTCAAACAGCCCACTGTAGTACTCGTGCTGCCCTAGATCCAGCTACCTCTGAAAAGCACCACAGCCATCCTCAGTGACACAGAGGTCCCAAGCTCCTCTGATGATAAGAACAGTCCAGTACATGCCAGGAAGCCAGCATGACAACTTCTCCTGGAGATTAGACAGCACACATCTTTCCCTCCAGAGTCAGGAAGCGATGTGAGTACATGGTGCTTTAGGGGAACCTCTAGATATAGCCATAACAAGGTGGCTTTCAGGCTGATATTATAGCTGTCTTTTAAAATTTTTATTTTTTGACACAAGGTCTTTCTGTATTCTTCAAACTGACCTTGAACTCACTATGTAGCCCAGGCTGGCCTTGCACCTGCAGGAATTCTCCTGCCTCAGCTTCATGAGTGCTAGAATTTCAGGCATGTGCCATCACGCCCAGTAACCATTTTTGCTTAGTATGCATGTTGTTTTGGCTTAGAAATGTATTTATTTGGGGTTAGCGCTGAACACTGGACTTGCTATCTCTCCCAGTATGGAAAAGAGTGTACTGCCCAGCACTTGCTCCCTGCACCCCGGAGTGTGAGGACAGAGGACAGTCACCTATCAAGTACTCAGTGTTCCTGCCTGAAAGACACTGCTGTTGGTAGTGATGACCATGACCACAAAAGCCGCACTGTTCCCTGCACCCTGGGAGGTGTGTGGGCAGCCCTGTCCCAGAGAGAGGAGAGTAGCAGCTGTGGCCAGCATTGGTAGCCCCATGGGACCAGATGTACTTTACAGTTGGCAGCATCACTGCGAGGGGACCAGACACTGCAGGAGTCTGTGCCAGGAAGGAGACAGGTGGCTCCGGCCTGTTGGCGGTGGGGACCACGCCCCTGCCTTGCAGACAGAATCACCAAGGCAGGACCCTGTGAGGCCACCTGGAGGCTCCCTCTCCTTTCCCAGGACTCAGTTCTGGGGGACACAGGGAGAGCCATCCCTTCTCCCTGCAGCCCTTGGGTCTCGGGAGCCCTGTCTGCCATCTGCTTGGCGGTGTCTGTGAGCCAGAACCACCCCACACAGCACTGAGGAGGGGTAAGAGCCATGACTATACAGCTATAAGGAAGGAAGGGCGGTCTTCTCATAAACCACATTGGTTCTGGAGTTTGTGGCTCTCAGGGGGAACCCAAGGTCCTGCTCACATTAGTCAAGTGGGCTTCCACTGAGCCACCACCAACGCAAAATCTTTGGGGCTTGCACATGATACTGGGGACTGCTTTCCTTTTAAATTCTCTCTCTCTCTCTCTCTCCCTCTCTCTCTCTCTCTCTCATTTTGACACAGGATCTCATAAAGTCACTAAGTTGCCCTGGCTGGGCCCAAACGTCCAGTCCTCCTGCCTCAGCCTCCCAGGGTGCTGGGATTAAAGGCAGGCTCCGCAGGCCTGGCTCCAAAGCCACTTAGTAGACTGCAGTGGAATTTATGTTGCCTGTGACCTCCTTGGATTCAGATCACTGTCCTGAAATCAAAGGGAGGAAGAGTGGGCTGTGCTCCCGTCTCCTTTGCCTCCTAAGCCAAGGAAAGGAAGCGGGCCTCAAGGCTCAAGCTCCATCTCCTCAGCAGCCTCAGCTGGGGCCTCCTGTCCTCATCCCCTTCTCTGCATGTGACTGTCCTGCTCCCCACCCAGCACCCCCCGTGCTCACATGGAACTTGGACAGATGGCAGGTGTGTGGGGCTGGCCACCATCCCTCGGCCTTGCTGTCTCCCAGACACACCCTCTCCTGTGTACTCCAGGCTTTGTCCAGGCAGCAGGTCGGGGCCCTGCCCCTGCCCACCATGACTCAGCTGCCAGCGACTCACTGTGGGAGGCTTTTCCCGAGGTCATCTCCGTGGAGTGTGTTTCTGTCCTTTCCCGCCCGATGTGTCCCTGAGAGGGACTCAGCTGGCTCGAGGAAGCCAAGAAGCCGCCTGGGCTCAGGCACCAGCCGGCCCTGGGCCATGGGGGAGCAAGCAGCAGGCACCATAAGCCAGCTATCGGATGAAGACGCCCTGGCCTCTGCAGAGCCCAGTGTACTGTCTGCCTAGAAACTGGACAGCACTGCCACCAGGGCTCATCAGCTGTGTGGCTGGGCCAGGGGCATGGTCCGCCAGGCATCTGTGCCACAGGACTGGAAGGTGGTGCCCCTGCTCCAGGCTGATGAGGGTGGGAGGGAAGTCTGAGCTCCGCCCCACTGGGCAGAGGACCAGCTTGCACTGGGTGCTGGGGCCCAGAAGGAACTGGGGTGGAACCAGTGGGAGCCAGCCAGGGAACAAATGCAGGGCTTCTAGAGAGAACGCTGTGCTCTGCTCTTGGTGCAGGGCTGTAAAGCCTTGCACCAAAAACCCGTGAGTTAGAAACAGCCGCCTGCCCACAGCCTTCCCCATGGCACAGAAGACCCGGCCCAGGGTGGCATTGGCCCTGCCCACCAGACAATCACTCACAGCTGCAAACTAGAGACAGAGAACATCTAATAAAAACAAAATCAAATTGAGATACTGAGACTTTCACTGGAAGTAGACAGCACTGTGGTCGGGAGACGGTTCCCAATCGACAGAAAGGATTTTCTCCGGTGTCTGGTACAGCCGGAAGGGCATGCAGAGGTCAATGGGGAGCAAGGGCCAGCTGATTCCCACTGTTCCCAGGGACAGCCGGCATGGGGAGGTCCACTGTGCCCTGCAGGCTCAGCTCCAGGCAGCAGAGCTGGGGACAGACAGGAGAGGAGTGCGCAGCAGGTGGGTAGCCAGGCGTGGCATGCTAGGTCAAAGACAAGCAGAGACTTGTGACTCACGCACACACAAAATGAATGTGTTTTAAGGATTTTAAGACAATTAAATGACGCAGCCAGGCAGACCTTTTAACTAGTTCGAAGTGAAAGTCAAAGAAGAGAGCGGTGCATAGAGAGGAATGTGCAAGTAGAGGGAACTGGCTTCTCCAAGGTCAGAATTCACTGCATACCTGGGGAAAAGCTTCCGGCACTGCTGCAGCTGCCGGTGACTCAGCGCACTGAGCAACCCAAACTAGCGAGAGGCCGCCGGAGAGCAGGGCTCTAACCAGGCCCTTCTGCTGGGCGTACTCCTTGCAGAGCTGTCCTGGGCCCCGCACGGCTTCAGCAGCGGCCTCAGCAGCTGCATCTCTGTCTTCTGCCCAGCAGCGCCAGTTCACTAAGACCCACCTCCCAGCCGTAACAATTTTAAAAATGCTCCACATGGTGCCAGACGCCCCAGGGATGGGGGTGGGGTGGGGGTGCCCGCAGTTGACTACACAGCTGCTCTAAACAGCTCTAAACAATGCCTGGCTTTCCACTGCGGCTCGCCTCTGCCTGGACCACGGAGGACACAGGAAGGGCTCACCCCATCCGCGCTCTGTCCCGGTGTGCGCCGCAGTCAGATGCAGGATGCAGCCGCACCCACAAGCCCGCCCCGCGCCCTCCGGGTCACTGCGCCCTCCCGGTGATTCTGAGTCAAACACACCCGCGAGGCAGTGTCAATGTGTCCCTGCGCGGGGGACTAAGTCGGGGGTAACAAAGTGAAGAGTGCGCTGTATACCGGGGGGGAGGGGGCTTCATCTGCACCCCGCACACGCGCACCGCTGTCTCCGCTTGCAGCCCCCGCCCCCGGTCCGCGGATCGCACCCCAGCCGCTGACTCACAGGCTCCGGCCCGCCCTCGCGCCCCTCCCGCCGACGGACGTTGCAGGCGGATCGCTCCCCCAGCCGTCCGCCGGGGGCAGCATTGCCCGGCCGAGTCCACACCCGCGAGAGCTGGGCAGGGCCTGGCTGCATCCGCACCCGCGCAGGCCCCACGGAGTGCTCCCGTAGCCCGCGCTGGGTCGGTCGGTGTCCCAGTCTGCGTCGTGTTCACGCGAGTCCCCGGGCCGATGGCGGGCGTGGCGGAGCGGCTGGCGCGGGAGCGCGCAGCGGCGGCGGGGCTGGGTTCCCACGAGCGCGCCGTGCAGTACCTGGGCCAGGATTTCGCGGCGCTGCGGGATGCGTGTTTGGCAGAAGGCTCGCTCTTCCAGGACCCGACCTTCCCCGCCGTACCCGCTGCGCTAGGCTTTGCGGAGCTGGGGCCACGCTCCAGCAAGACGCGCGGCGTGGAGTGGAAGCGGCCCCCGGTAGGTGCGGGCGGGGCGCGGGCCTGCTGGGTGGGGAGGCAGAGGGAGCACCGGAACCGCGCCCTAGGGAGACTTTCAGGGCTCCAGTCGTGAAGAGGGAGGAAAGGGACCCCGGGAGTCCCAGGCTGGTCGCTCAGCTCTGCCGGCAGGCGGTGGCCATAGCTTCGACTGCTGCTAAGCAAGGAGCTGACTAGTTGTTTACCTGCAGAGCCCAGCAAGGGCCTGAGAGCTAGGAGCAGTGGATCCTCCCCTCCAGCCCTGGGCAGCTCTGCTGCCCAGTTTGCTGCCCTTTCCTCTCCCAGGATCCCTGTCTGGTTTCCCCAGCTGCACCTCCCGGGTTCACTAGGAGAGCAAGCCTTCTGCCCTCCCAGGCCCACTGCACCCTAAATCCAGCCCTCGGGTAGCAAGAGCTGTAGGACACACCCCAGACCAGGACTCTGGTGCCTGGGCCTTCTTCTTTTGTTGTGAGATGGTCTGGCTCCCAGCCTGACTGCAACCCCTCAATCCACCTGCCTTCGCCTCCCAGTAGCTGGGACTAAAGGTGGGCACTGCCCCACAGCCTGGGCTCTCAGTCTAACAGACTAGGACTATGGAGAAGTCACTTGTAAGCTCCATGTCTTCTCCTGGAAGCAGGGGTGGTCTCAGATGTCCCCTCCCCCTCTGTGCTCCATCCTGGTCCTGCCTGCCTGGGCCTCACACCTCCGGAGCACATTCCGGTTGTCCTGGGGCTGGCTCACTGCATTCTTTGGGACTTTGTCACTGGTCCCCACCCTCAAGAGGCCTTTGCTTCCCCCTCACCCCATCCCTGACTATCACTGGGCCCTGCTGTCTGGCACAGAATCTTCACAAGGGACAGGCAGGGCCCTGAGGCTGCTCTTCCGTGATCATCAGCCTGAGTGTCCACCACTGGCCCTTCGCTGTGTGCACAACTTTATTCCTTTTACCAAGTGCCTGCTGCATGCCAGGAGCTGTGCTGGGTGCTTGGGGGACATCTGGCCACCTAAAGGGTGGTTGGTGTTTGTAGAACCAGTGGATGTGCCTGGGAGGAGATTGCGTTGAGTTAGTTGCTGCAGTGCCTTTCCCGAGCTCCTTCATTGGGGGCGTTTCCTGAACACCCACCACGTGCGGGCACAGGACGGCACTCCCTGAAGAGGCTCAGGAGGCAGAGAGACACTGTACACTTCAGGGAGTGGGGATGCAGCGCTGGAGCCACTTGGGGGCACCGGTTATGGCCAAAAGAGAGAGGCACTATTAGATCCCATCCGGCTGCAGGAGCCTGAGGCCTGGGAGGTGAGACTGCAGGGAGCCAGATGGCCTGCCAGGCCAGCTGCCCTTCCTGCCCACCAGACCTCCGGACACTGTTGGGGTCAGGCAGGGAGCAGGCCCCCCACCCCCCACCCCCACTGCATTGGGACGTCCAGCAGTTACTGTCACAGTCACATCAACAGTGACAGGGCGAGCTCCGCTGGAAGGTGGGACAGAAGCCAGGCCACTGTGGGCTGCAGAGTTAGCGAGATGCAGAGGAAGGATGTGGTCCACTGATGCTAGAGGGGTGCCAGGGAGGCAGAGAGACAGAGACAGACAGAGGCGGAGGGACAGAAAGAGACAGGAACAAAAGGGGAGAGAGAGAGACAGAGATGGGACAGAGAGACACAGAGGCAGAGATGGAGACAGAGAGACAGACAGACAGAGGCAGGGACAGAGTGGTTGGAGAAGCTTCCCCCAGCCAAGCGACCAGAAGAGTTGGCTGCTGAGTCCCAGAGAGGCAGGATGAAGATGCAGGCTGGAACAGCCCAAAGCAGGGTCCTCCCTCTTGGAGGAAGTGAGCACCGGGCTGGCGGGTGTGGTGAGCTGGGCAGGGGAGTGGTTAGCGCTGCCTCCCGGAGTCCCCAGAGGGCCTCCCCAGCACCAGCCAGGGAGTGAGTCAGGCAGGAAAGGGACAAAGCGGAAGCAGCCACAGCCCTGGGGAGGTCCCGGCCAGAGCTGGGCACTGGGAGGCAGCGGAGGCCACAGGGTCGTGGCCTGACCCTCCTGGCGCTCCCGGCTGCCGTAGTGGGGGTCATGAGAGGGGCACTGGCCTGCTTCCCTGGGGTTTGTGGTCCGAGTCTCTTTAGGTAACTGGACTCAGCCGCCACTCTGTCTTCCTCTTCTGACCATAGCTAACTGCCAACTTGTGACCCTCATGACGACCCTCTGTGGTGGGGACATTTGTCATCACCATTCACAGGATGTGGAGGGGGAGCCCGAGGCTTGGGGAGGCTGTGTCACCCTGTCACAGCTCCATGCACGGATCCTGCTCCCCTGTCCACTGAGCATCTGTCTGCTCTTCTCTGGAGCATCTTTGGGCTGAACTTTGACCCTCGGGAGGGGCTGCCAGTGATGTGAGGAAGTTTTTGGAACTTAATGAAAAAACCCTCCTGGACGAGTGCCCAGAACGTGGTCACCAGTAGGGTTCTGTGCAGCAGAGGCCTCGGCACCAGCCTTGTCCATCTGTCCGTCTGCTGTCAGCGCTTGGCTGGCAGCCTGGGCAGCACGGCTTTATCTGCCTCTGCAGCAGAAGAGCTCTCTCCTCATCCTCCCTGTCCCACACAGGCCGGACATGCCTCCAGCTTGGCCTTCTGGAAGCATCTCCATATCTGAGCCAGGATGCCAGAACCAACCAAGTCCAGGCAGAAAGGAGCCTGCTAGAGGCTTCCATGCAAACATGGGGTGCTGCAAAGCAAGGTCACCCCACCACAAGAAGCCCAGATTTGGGCCTGACTTCCTTCGTGGTTTGGGGTGGAGCCCTTCGGAACCAGGAAGCACAGCTGGGTGTGGTGCCGCTGGCTGCTCTCTACTCTCTACTCAGAAGGCTGAGGCAGGAAGGTCACTTAAACCCAGGACTTCAGAATCATCCTTGGGTGAGATGTGGTGGTATATGCCTGTCATCCCAGCATTTGGGAGGCTGAGGCAGGAGGATTGCTGAGTTTAAGGCCAGCCTGAACTGCATAGTGAGACTCAGTCTCAAAAACAAAAAAAACTAGCCTTGGTAGTATAGTGAAACCTGTTTCAAAAAGTAAATGAGCCTGGAGCACCAAGACAGCTGGAGATGCAGGAGGCTTTGGGAGGAAGGGGTGGAACCGTGAGGTGTGGTGAGGTGTGCAGAGGACTGTGGGCTCCCCACACACAACCCACTGCCTGCAGGAGCAGGGGCGCTGGGGCCTGGCCACAGGCTGCACTGCCCACTGCCGTGCCACCCAGGAGCACATATGGCCCTAGGCTCCAGGTGGGGGCTGTGAGCCAGAGGGGCCTGGTCCAGCCCACAAGGCAGAGGTTCCAAAGCCCCAGGCCCAGACTCCTGCTCAAACACAGACCTTCCCAGGCAGGGAGGGGACAGAGGCCCTGGCCGTGGCTGACCTCTCCATGTGTCTCCCTGCAGGAGATCTGCGTGGATCCCCAGTTCATCATCGGAGGAGCCACGCGCACAGACATCTGCCAGGGAGCCCTGGGTGAGTGCAGTGCGGCCGGACTGCTGCGGGGCTGGGCAGAAGGGATGAGGGACGAGGAGGGGTGTGGCCCTGTCCTTCAAGCCAGATGGAGGCCGTAGAGCCCTAGGGCAGGAGTGGGGGCTGTGTGGGGCCCAGGGCAGGGTGGAGATTGTGTAGGAGAACGACCCAGGAGCTGGTGAGGACAGGAAACTAGGGGCCAGGCCCAGCCTCGCACGGGCTGCCACACAGCAGTCTGGTGCTCACAGAGGCCACAGTTGGCTTCGGATAAGCGAAGGAACTTGGAGGGGCTACATGCTGGCCACACCAAGCAGTTCCCAGCGCTTCGGATGTTTGCTCAGGAGACCAGGAGCTGGGGTCCTCCTGTTTTCCCAAAGCCCCCTGGGCACCTGGCTTGGGCTGTTCCATTTAAGCTCTCAGAATTCACACTCGCCATTTCTCACCCTAATAAATGAAGGCCTGTGGTTAAGGGAGGAGATTATTTGCTCCTGTAACCAAATCCATCTCCTGCCCTATCCTCAACCAGTTCTACAAGCAAGCCCACCAGCACCAGGACTGACTGGCTAGAGCTCACCTCCATTCCTGGCCCAGCAGGCCAGGTTCCAATGCCGCTAAGGCCAGCAATGTCCTCACACCTTCCACACTCTAAGCTGTGCCTGCGGCCTCTCAAGCCCTGTGATTCCAGTTTCATAGAACAGGACACTGAGGTCCCCCCATAGCCGAAGACTAGGGGGTGCACCGTACATTTGGTGTGAACCAAGGCTCACTAGGACAGGCACAGCCTTGGAGGGAGACCAGGACCGGGCCAAACTGGCTTGAGACTGCAGATTCCTGAGATGCCAGAGATAATTCTTATCTGGAAAGAACAATCTCCGGTCTCCCTGTGACCCTCACAGGAATTAGAGGACTTCGTGCCGAAGGTGGGTGCACAGGGAACACCAGTTGGCTGGAGAAGGTAGTCAGAAGTCCTGGGAGTGTGGGAGAACCCAGTAACCAACACAGCAGTGGCTCGACAGCATTTCCGGCCCAAATACCTGCTTCCAAATCCAGCAAGGTCAAACAGGTGGATCCCAGCAGCAAGAGTTGCTAAAAAGCCCAGAATTCCATAGGGTCCTCTGAGGACCCAGTGCAGCCTGCCCTCCTGGGAGAGAACCCAGTGCAGGCTGCGGTCCTGAGAGAGGCTGCCCTCTGTGGGCGCCCAGAGGGAAACACAGTGGAGCGTGAACCTTCTCAGTTTCCAGTCACTGGGCTTCTACGGCTGTGAGTGTGTCCCGGTCATTGTGTTCTCTCCATCTTCCTTCTGGAAGCTCCAGGCAGCGAGCAGGCGTGTTTGTGAAGCTCTTGTTCAGCCCTGCGTCTGGGTGCCAGGTAGAGGGGTGGTGACTGTCACCATGGGCTCACGAGTAGCCGGACCTGAGGGCTCAGCATGTCTTAAACTGGAGATGGGACAGGGCACAGGGACCCGAGGTGCCGCCGTCCTTGAGCGTCGCTGCTCCGTCCCTGCTCTGTGCCACTGCAGCCCAGTGCATTGGCTGTCAGTCCTCTTGTGTGTGGAAAGGGTGCAGGCAGCATGCTGGCCTAGGTGACAGCATCCGGCCCTGGGCATCTTCTCCATGGGTCCACGTGATCGTCCTGGGTGGGAAGCAGATGCTTTCCACCATGCAGACAGAAACGGAGGCTGGAGGAGGGAGCTGAAAGCAGGGTCCAAGGCACACCCTTTTCCAGGTATCAACTCTGCCAGCGGCCCATTCTCAGTGACATCCAGGGCCCTGTGTAGTTTTGCAGGGCCATGGTGACCCACACACCCTCATCCCTGCCCGGAGCCTCAGTCCAGTGCCCCCAGGAGCCAGACCCCGTTTGCAGAGTTGCTCCAACAAAGTGCAGAGCAGGACTTGTTGTGTGAGGAGAGGACACAGCACAGTGAGCCTGGGAGCAGGTGGGGCCTCGGGAGGCGCTGTAATCATGGAGTGACCGCTTTAGGCTGTGCACCGGACCTTGAGGGTTTCCTGGCTACACTCCCACCTCTCCCCTCGCAGGCCACAGCTACAAGCTGCTGCTCTGAGGCCTGGTCAAAGCAGCTTACCCATGCTCACCGTGTTCTCCAACCCTGAGGGCCAGGTTTCCTGTCCCCACCTCCACAGTGACCCAGAGCCAGTAGCTGGCAAATCTCCAGCTGTGAGGCAGGGACAAACTCAAGGCCTCTCGCCTCACAGCAGTGAATGCCACACATACCCCACGGCCCATACCTGTGCTCCTCAGACATCCATGCTGGATGTGTGCTGGGTTTCTCAGGCTGTGGTCCCCAGAGGTCAGTGCGCCCCTGCACCCAAGCCTAGGTGGGAGGATTAGGGTCTGGAGGGTGCTTGGGGAAGCCCTGTCTATCCTTTGAGAGGCTCAGTGTCAGCTTGGGTGGTCGTGGGGTGGAAGCAGGGCAGAGTCCCCACCCCAGCCTCTTCACTCCCTAGCCCTGCAGAGCCACAGCCTTGCTGAGGTCGCTGATCCAGCAGTGGGCACTGGTGGACCCAGGAACTTGGCATCACGATGGGTCCCAGCCCTTTATTTTTTTACTTTGAAACAGGGTCTCCCTAAGTTACCCAGGTGGGACTCCAATTTGCCCTCTTCCTGCCTCAGTTTCCCTCAATGCTGAGATTACAGGCCTGTGCACTCCATCCGGGTTAGAGTCCAGAGCTTTTCCAGTTCTGTTGCAGAATCTGAGAGATCAGAGAGATTTGTGGTTAAAAAAGAGGATTTATTTCCAGGATTTTAGATGCACATCAACCCAGCCCAACTCGAGCCAAAGTGCTCTGCGTCAGAACAAAGGAAGGCTGTAGCTTACTTCAGGCGGAGGGGTTGCTCTTTAGAAATGGGGGTGGAGGAGAGTGAGGGGCAGAAGCCGGACTTGGCCTTGAAAGAAAACACAGCCTTAGGGAATCCCGTTCGGGGACTTCACTGTCAGCCTCACCTGCACCAGACAAGAAGTGACAGCTTCAGGGCTGGGGAGCGAAGGGGCAGGCCTGTAAGTCCCACTTCCCTCCCTCTGCTGCCCCAGGGTCGCCTCCTGTCCTGTGGTGTCTCCCTGGGCGCCTGGGCGTGACAGGCTGCTCAGGGTCTGTCCTTGCCGTCACTGACCCTGGCAGTTCCCGGGAGGCCAACAGGTTTTGCCCAACGGCACTCCTGGAATTTGCGCAGTGGCTTCTCAAAAATAAGACATGTGGTCTGAGGAAGGGAAGACTGCTTATGGCTAGTCCCCTGGAGACAGTGAAGGCTTTGGAATACCAAACCTCTCCCCAGCTCCGCCCAAGGCTCCGCATGAGTCACTGTTTGCTGTCCTCCAGCTGCTGCCCTGGGCGAAGCCTGGCGCAGCTCCCAGCACACAGGTGGGCGCTCCCTGCCCCTGCCCCGGGACTCCTGTCCCCTGCACCTTCTTTGAAGCCCCAGGTGAGGGGTCAGGTCTGCCTTTTCGGCCCTGTCTGGTCCTGGGCCACACCCTTACCCCCAGCTCTGAGACGCTTTCCCGAGCTGGCAGCCTGCGGCTCTGTGACTGTCTGTCCCCTTCCCCTGCACCCTAAAGCGTGGTCTGCCTGGCTGTGGTGGGTCCGTTCTGCACAGCCCCATTTGCTGACTCTCAGAAGTGAAGGACCGTGTGTTTCCTGGCGACAGTGGGGCCTAGGCCAGTTGCATTGTGGGGACCAGGGGGGTCAGCAGACTCAGGGGTCTGTGTGCCTTGCCTGTGTCCTGCGTGAGGGAGGAGCCAGGCAAGGGGCAAAGCGAAAGGGAAGCAATGATTGTGACCTCAGAGCCCAGGAGGAGCCTCTAGCCCTGCCCTGGGACGCAGCGGTTCCTGCGGCCCTGGAAATTTACTGCAGCTCAGATGAGCTTCCAGTCTCAGCCCGGGCTTGGACCTGAAGGAGCCATTCATGAGCCGCACTGGGTGTGCCCATCACCGGGGAGGGCTGGCCCCCAGTGCCGTGCTGCTAGGGTCCTTGTGGGCACCAAGGGTCGCCTGAAGGCTGGCCTGGCTGGGGACAGGGAGTTCTTTCATTGGGGGACCAAGCATCTACACCTGCTTCACACACCTCTGTTGCATGGGTGGGAGGGCGACCTCTTGACAACCACGCCCCACAGGGCTGAAGTTTTCACAGGATCCTTAAGATATGGGGTGACCAACTGCCAGAACTGAGGAGCAGGGGTCCCAGAGACCAAGAAATACATCCAAGTTTGCCAACCACTGCCATAGGGCACACCCCGACCCAGGCCCCAACCACACACCTCTCATCCCTGCTGGCCTCCCTAGGACCCCTCTAGCTCCAGGTCTGTTTCTGGTACCCTAAGGCCCAGCCTGGCATGGTGTCCTGCACCTCACAGTGAGGGGATGCCTGCAAAGGTTGAGGAGCAGACACAACGCCCTCCCCACTGAGGCCGGTGTAGTCCCAGAGGGACCACCTGCTCTGCACTCAGTGGCAGCCCCCCAACCCCTGAGTGTGACAGAGCCAGAGTGGCCTGAGACAAAAGGCAGGAAGGGAGGTCCCAGGTCCAGCCAGGAAACAGCAGCCACAGGGCTGGGGGAGGACAGGAGTCTGGCTTTGAGGGCCGTGGGAGGAGCAGGCAGGCCCAGCCTGCAGGGAGCTGCTCCCCAGCATGGCCCACCAGAAGCAGGAAGTCTCAGTGCAGGCCAGGGGACCCCGGAGGGCAGGCGCGGCTTAGGACCTTGGGCCACCTCCTGGGGGAGAGTTGTGGACCCTGGTGCTGCCTGCTCACCCATCTTCCCCCAGAAGCCTGCTGGGCTTCAATCCTAGGCACCTCCCATGGGCACCTGCAGCTATGGCTGGCATCCTGGGGTGGGTGACGCTAAAACACCAGGGCAGGGGGACCTAAAGGTGCATAGCAGGAAGGCAAGGGACTGCAGCCCATCCCGCGGGCAGTGAGCACCAGGGTGGAGGGCAGGGGTCCAGGCTGAGCCGAGTGAAGGAGCAGCAGCCACCCCTCCTCGGGGGTGTGGAGGGTGCTGTCTGGGCACAGAGCCATGACCCCTGTCCCTGTGCAGGCCCGAGGCATGGGGCAGGAGGACAAAGGCCAGGCTTCTGAGTGTTGGAGAGGAGGTCATGTCATTAGGGGAGCAATGTGTCCTGTGGAGAAGCAGCTGGTTCTAAAGGAAAGCACAGGAGGAGGCAGGGAGCCAGCCTGGAGAAACAGGCATGCCCTGAATTTGGGGCTGATGCCCAGGAGCCCTGAAAGACCTCGCGGTCCCTGCAGCATCTCCTCACTGAGTAGTCCAGCGTTTGCACTGACCAAGAGTGGCCAGCCAGAGGGCTCAGGATCAGAGGCCTCAGGACAGGCCCCGGGCACTCACTGCCTCTCCAGAGTTCCCTGACCATCCAGTGCTTTCTCAAAGGTCCAGATCCGGGGCAGGTCACATGCAGTGCCACCTGGAGGGCACCTTTCCTTCCCGTGGTGTCACAGCTTTGAGCTGGAAGACACAGCCCTCCCTGGCCTGCAGCACCCACTCCTCGGCCTTGAGCCAGCTCCCAGGCAGTCAGGAGATGCCACAGCTTGGATGCTGACAGGCCAAGGGATGGCATGGCTGGCCCAGCACCCACTTAGAGACGGAGGTGACAGGGTCAGAAGATGATGGCCATCAGGACCAAGGCAGAGCCAGGGCCCTCCTGCCCAGCAGCTTTTCCCGTGCAGTAGAACAGAGCCTGAGGGGCAGCACTGGATGAGCAAGCTGCTGCTGGAAGCCAAGTGTGTTGAGACTCCTGAGGCCAAAACCCGAAACTGACTCGGACCCAGCCAGGTGGCCACGTCCAGAAGAGGATGTCGCCTCTGAAGCTGGAGGACCCAGAGTGCTTCACAGAGTTGGGGAGGTGCAGTTGCTGCCTTTCTCTGAGGGCCACTTGGATGGCAGCACAGGGCCTTCCGCAGTCATCAGGAGTAGCAGAGAGGGTGCCCAGGAGTCACCTCAGGAGAGGCAGTAAGCTGGGGTGGGCAGAGCCAAGGCTGGGCCTCCCTGGCTGAACGCCTTGCACGGGTGAGTTTCACTGGCACCGTCTGGAAAGCAGAGCGTGTGGGAGACAGAGAGCTTTCAACGCACGGCAGAGGCCCTCGCTAGCCAGGCCCCCGAATCCTGTCTGCTCTACTGTGGATGGGGTGACAGGATCTCTGCCCGAGCCTGCTCGTGACGGAGAAATACAACCGCTTGATAATGCGTGGGAAGCACACGTGCACCCTGGAGCCGGAGCTGCAGAGTCTCTAGTAGAACAGGTGCTCAGTGCCCCCTCAGAAGGGTGGGCGTCCCTCAGGCAGACGCCGTGGCTCCCATTCCGACTGCAGGCTGGAGGTGAAGAGCCTGGGCTTGGAGCTTCAGCTGCAGACTGCGTGACCTGTTTCCTCCCATCTGCGTGGCACCTCACTGCTGCTGTATGGGCCATGCATCCTCAGCATGCTATCTGGGTGAACCGCACTGCATGGGGACTGGGCCCCGAGGCGCACACCTGTAATCCAGCACTAAGGGAGGCTGAGGCAGGAGGACCACAGGTAAAGCCAAGCTTGGACACCTTACCAACTTGGAGAGACCCTGTCTCAAGATAAGAAATGTATAAAATGGGCTGGTGGTTAGGCAGTTCTATCCCCAGGACCACAAAGAAGGAAACCCAGGACCCGGAGGAAGCCGCCAGGTCCTCGCTCCTCTCTCCCGAATGGGAGATGCAGCTGCGTCTGGCTCCTGCCTCTCCCTTTGAATGGAGGAACCAGGTCCTCTCAACCAGAGACAGCGAGGCGCTGCTCCTAAGTGAAGCCCCAGCCTGCAAGCAGGGCTCCTATGTGTGGGACCTGCGACGTGCACTCTAGAGACTCTCTAGCTTCCGCCTCTTCATCCCGGAGAGGAAATGGTAAAGGTCACTCATGAGACGCATAAGAAGGCTGAATAAAACATAAAAGGGTCTTTGTTGACTTCCCAGCATTTCGCAGACGTGGCTCATATGGTCTCCCCACACATGAAGGAGCCCCTGCTGCTGCACAGTGGGGACCCATATGGGTCACTTAATCAGAGCCGCCGTTTGGTCACCCAGGAGCTGTTCTAGGAAACAGGTTAGCAAGTGATGAAGAAAGCCGTGATCTCTAGAAGCAACACGAGCAGAGACCCAGGCCCCATGGGTGTCGGGAAATTTCCTCTTGAGACTCAAAAGAGGACCAGCTGGGAGCCCTGACTTCTGGGCAGCGGCACGACGTGGAGGTGACAGTTGCTGGAGACAGGTCCTGACATGGGCCTGAATGCACAGCACAGGCATCAGGCCCTCTGAGGTCACAGAGTGGCTGACCAGTCCACGGCTGTGGACACCCCTGCCGACCACACGGTGAATAAGTGCTGGGCTGGCTGGGGATCCGCAGGGACCAGGAGCAGCTGACTCGATCCTGGTCCTCAGGCCCCTCGTTCTCCAGCCCACTGCGTCTGTGTGTCGTCCTCCAGAGCTTGCAGGAAGCTCAGTGAGACCTCTGGGCCCAGTTCTTAATGGAGATCCATGTGCCAGAAGACCCAGCACAGGAGCACAGAGCAGGGCAGGCGGCTTGCACCACCCAGGAGCTTGGGCCCTGGTGAGCTCGTCCCCAGGCCAGCACATGTGACTGAGCAACAGAGTGGATGTTTAGCAAAGGCCAGGGGTCCCCTAAGGACCCAAGTGTGAAGAGACGGAAGAGCCCCACGTCAGGGACCCTCGCTGCCTCCCCCAGTTAGGACCAGTGTGGTCACTGCCAGCTTCCTCTGTGGTCTGTCCCCTCGAGTGGCAGCCGCTCTGACTTGCACAGCAGCCTCACAGCCCTGAAGGCTCCTCTGAGATCCGGCAACTGGCGAAGCTTCTCGTATGTGTGGCATTGCCCCCCAGCAGCGGCTGTGATCTGTGCTTGTCCAAGGCTTGCACATGGACAGCCATGGGGGCAGAGGAGCAGACAGCCGGCCCAGGGAGACCACGCAGGGGCAGCTCCCAGGGAGGCTTGGTGACAGTGGCTTTTGCAGGACTTTCCCTGCAGTCAAGCACAAGGACCTGCACAGATTGAGTGCTGAAAAGTCCAGGGCAAGCCAGCCTCACCGGGCCTGGCTCCCACGTTGTGGTGGTGCTGCCAGCCGGCTCCTCTGCCTCCCAGCGCCTCTTCCGCCCACTGCACGGCTCAGTTGTCCCCAAGTGCGGGTTGCTGTGGTCCATGCAGAGGGCACCTGTCCCTTCTCCACACCCCCAGGAATGGCTCTTGGCCGCTTGGCAGCAATGGCTGGGGTGTGGCTCAGGCCCCAAAGTCGGGCAGTGGGGAGCACAGGTCGCCCGGGGCCAGCATTACCAATGTGTAGACTGAGAGTGGGACCCTCGCACTGCAGGACAGCAGATGGCCCTGCAGGGAGCCTGTGGGTGGACTGCACCCACTTACAAGAGCAGAGGATCCATCAGCCCTTGGGATCCTTGCGGATGGGGAGGGAGGTGTTGTGTCCAGCCCCAGCTCGAAGGTTCAGGAGCCAGCATACTCCTCAAAGTGTAGCACACACAGGAGTCAGCGCAATGGGGCGAGCTGACATCAGGCCACCTGCATGACCCATGTGCTGTCCCTGCCACATCTCTGTGCTGTCCAAAGAGAGGCCAGGCTGTCCAGCTGGCCGCCTCTCATTGCCCCTGGCCTTGCCCATGTGCTTGGTGCCCACCTTGCCCTTCTAAAGATCCTGCTCGTCCTCCCTGTTCCCAGCCTCTTCCCAAACCCCTTCCTCTGGTGCAGCCCACTTTTCAGCCATGTGCAGAATCCTGAGTGGGGTCCCTCGCCCTACAGACAGTGCAGCTCCATGCACCAGGCACACAGCTGGGCACCCGTGACCCTGGCATCCTGGCTGTCCCCAGGGTAATCTTCCTCACCTGCCTCACCACTGCCCATATCGAGGTCTCTCCCCACCCTGGCAACCAGAAATGCATCCCCTGGCCCACGGTCATCTTTGGCCTTGCAGCCCCCAAGGTGGGCACAACTGTCACCCTCTGGAGGTGCACCCAGGGTCAGCTCCCTGCCTGTGTTCATAGGTGACTGCTGGCTGCTGGCCGCCATCGCCTCGCTCACCTTGAATGAAGAGATCCTGGCACGTGTTGTGCCACTGGACCAGAGCTTCCAGGATAACTACGCGGGCATCTTCCGCTTCCAGGTACCCAGCTGGCTCTTCGGGCCTGGAGTTTGCTGGCTCAGGATGGGCTGTGCTCTGGGAGGACACCGAGCCCACAGGAAACTCACAGCCTTCTGGGGACTCCCGGGTGGGTAGGCAGGAAGCTCAGGAGGGGTCCCAAGTGGAAAGATGGGGTCACGCATGTCTGAGGCTCAAACTTCAGCGTTGTTCTCCTCTCAAGCTGGGAAATGGGGTGATGTTTTTCCGACATGAGTGCAGACTTGGGGGACCAGAGCCCTCTGCTCGCCTGCTCCGTAAGGAGCTGCTGCGGGGAACAGGTGTCTCCTGGGACAGGCTCGGGTCCCAGCCACCACCCCCGTCCCACCTGCAGTTCTGGCAGTACGGCGAGTGGGTGGAGGTGGTGGTGGACGACAGGCTGCCCACCAAGGACGGGGAGCTGCTGTTCCTACACTCTGCCGAGGGCACTGAGTTCTGGAGCGCGCTGCTGGAGAAGGCCTATGCCAAGTGAGTGCCCATGTCCAGGCTGTGCCCAGAGACTGGGCCTGTCCCCCCACACCTGGGGCCTGCCACCAGTGCCCAGGGCCTTCCACGGTGTCAGGGACCCCAAATCCAGGAGCAGCGTGGGAGCCCAACTGAATGAAAGGCCTGCTGGGCGCACCCTGCGCCTCCAGCTTGCATATGCGGGATGCTGGGTGCATGCTGTGCTGGCGAGTGGCAGCCCTGTCTTTGCTGGGTGGCTGCCCTGAGCCCTAAAGGCCAAGCAGCTGGTAAACAGACCTGCCCCCCCCCCCAGCCATGAGGACACGGGGAGAATCCCCAAAGGATTAGAAGGTCACACGGTCCCCAGAGGCCCGGCACCTTTGCCTAGCTACAGGGTCACTGGAGGAAGCGGGTGCCCTCCTGCCTCCCAGTGAGAGCAGAGACCATGGGGACAAATGCACAGCCTAGGGTGCTGGAGGGTGCTGGGGGTGCACCACGGCAGCCTTTCCCGCTCTCAGGATCAATGGCTGCTATGAAGCCTTGTCCGGGGGCGCAACGACCGAGGGCTTTGAGGACTTCACTGGGGGCATTGCTGAGTGGTATGAGCTGCAGAAGCCGCCGCCCAACCTGTTCAGGATCATCCAGAAGGCGCTGGAGAAGGGCTCGCTGCTTGGCTGTTCCATCGATGTGAGTGGGGCGCCCCTGCAGCCCTCCAGTGCTCAGGGCACACCAGCAAGCCTGGGATCCCAACCCAACTTGCAGCCTGGTGTGGCCTGGTCAAGCACAGTGCCCTTCACCAGGAACCAGGGGTCACTGGGCAAAGCCTGATTATCAGAGCGCAGTGATGGGGAGATGAGCCCCAGGCCCACCATCACCTTGCCCCCCTGAGCTCTCAGAAGCACTGGAGGGGGCATTTCCTCCAGCGCATGTGCCACCACCTCTCTGGGCTGGGGGATGCCAGGGCTGTGTACTGCAGCCTCCTGACGCAGGCCGTGCCCACCCGAGAGTAGTTTCCTTGGGGACACAGACAGAAGCCCTGGCTTGGCAGCAGAGGTCTGTGGACCTCAGGTACCCTCGAGTCCTGCAGGCTAGGCTGAGGTAGAAGCTTCTTTCCCGACACCCGCCTCTCTCTGCTCATCCAGAGGACACCAGGTCTTCCTCGGACAGGGCCACTGCACATGTTGCGGCCTGGGAGCAAGTGGCATCTGTGCCCCCTCCCTCGCCTGCCAGCTCCTGAACCTTGGCAGTGCTGGGGATGTGAGGCACACAGGGAGGGCAGGGGGTGGCAGTGCCAACCATGGCTACCTTCACAGATCACCAGTGCTGCAGACTCTGAGGCCATCACCTACCAGAAGCTGGTGAAGGGGCACGCGTACTCGGTCACTGGAGCCGAGGAGGTAGGTGCAGCAGGCACTGTGCACCTGCGTGGCATCTCTGCCCCACCCAGCCTCGAGGCATCCCCTGGGGTGCATGTGTGACTTGACCTCTGCCACTCATAGCCTGGGCAGGCTTCTGTTTTTCCATCATGAAAGAGGAACAGCAGAATCTGGCATGCAGGCTGCTCTGTGGTGATTGCAAGCCAAGCCTGGCTGGGGCAGCAGCAGGAGGTCGTACAGCCCAGACCTGCTCCAGGGCACTTTTGTTAACTGAGATTTGTCCTCGGCCTGTGTGCCACATGCAGGCCCACACCCACTAGCTCGTAGCCAACCCTGCAGGTCCCACGTAGACCTCGGCTCTGCCCTGCCACACCAGGGCCCTATCTCTCACCCCATGCTCAGGTGGAGAGTGCGGGGAGCCTGCAGAAACTGATCCAAGTCCGAAACCCCTGGGGACAGGTGGAGTGGACCGGGAAGTGGAATGACAAGTGAGCTGGGTGCTGTGCTGGGTACTGAGCTGGGTGCTGAGCTGGGTGGGCCTCTCCTGGGAGACCCCACTGAGCTGCAGGCAGAAATGCTGAGGGCCAGCTGGACAGGTGACCCTGAGCCGGCAGCCAGGTGCCTGGAGGCCCAGCTCGTCTCACCGGACTCCCTCCCGGCTTGCTGCAGAGATCAGGAAGAAGCTCCTGTGGGTTTCTGGGCCCTCAAAGAGCTGCTGGTTGTCTGTCCCACGCCAGCTGTGTGGCTTCCTGGCACCTCTCTGCCCAGTCCCGACCACACTCCTGAGCAGTACTGTGTTCAAGCCCACCTGGCTTCACTGCCCAGGTTCTGGGTCCTCAGTGGCGATGGTGGTCTTGCGCCTTGCTCTGGCTGTGGGAGAAGTCACCATCATGCATGTGTTCCCAAGGTCTGTTCCTCTGCTGTGTCCGCAGCTGCCCAAACTGGAACACGGTGGACCCAGAGGTGAGGGAGAGGCTGACCGTGCGGCTGGAGGATGGGGAGTTCTGGTAAGGGAGCCAGAGGTCGGGAGGCCTCAGGGCTAGCCGATGCTTCTGTGTGTGTGTGTGTGTGTGTGTGTGTGTGTGCTGTACGGGGATTGAACCCAGGGGCTTTGCACTGAGCTGCATCCCCAGCCTTTATTTTGAGACAGTCTCACTAAGTCACTAATTGCCCAGGCAGGGCTCAAACTTGGGATCCTCCTGTCTCAGCCTCCTAAAGTGCTGGGTTTATAGGCAAAGGCCACCATGCCGGACCTACCCAGTGGTGGGAAGTTGGTCACAAAGGTGAGCCTGTGCTGGTGAGGACGTGTAGAGTCCTGGTTTCGTTGTCTTAAATTAGCTGCAAGGTCCTGCAGAAATCCATCCTCAGCCTCGGGAACTCGCTGGCTCATGGTGGATTCTTCTTGCCTGTGCTAATCAGACCCTCCAGGAAGGACAGGGAGGTGGGGTGCTCTTCTGCAGGCTCCCTGACCCTCAGTGTGTGTCTGCACTGCTCTGGGGTCCCCTGCAGTTCCACAGGGCTGTGTTGTTGCCGCTGTCAGGCGGGGTCCTGGACTCACTGAAGCCACCCAGCTGGTGGGCAGCACCAGTCTGGAACTGGGCTGCAGATTCTGGGAGGCCTCAACCAGCCTGGCCCTGGTGGAGGTCAGTGTTGGGAACCTGTGCTGGGGCCTGAGCTTCCGGACGTGCTCCCTCCCTGCCAGGATGTCCTTCAGCGACTTCCTGAGGCATTATTCCCGCCTGGAGATCTGCAACCTCACACCTGACACGCTCACCAGCGACACCTACAAGAAGTGGAAGCTGACCAAGATGGACGGGAGCTGGCGGCGGGGCTCCACCGCAGGCGGTTGCAGGAACTACCCGAGTGAGCTCCTCCGGGTCCGACCTGACCCGCTCCCAAACCCCTGAGCCCTCACCTGGCAGGCGTCCTCCCGTCTTCCCGAGATGACAGTCTGGGGCCCAAGCCCAGGCTCACCCTTCCCGCCTCGTACTGAGCTCCCTCATGCACCCAGCACTGCTGCAGGGCCTGCAAGGCTCCCAGGCACCAAGAACAGAGCCACACACAGCCTCTGCACCCTGGGGTGAGAGGAACTGGCTGGGGGTGAGCAGGTCTCCCCTCCCACTTCCGTGGATCTCCATAGCCCCTGGTGACACCCCTGATTGCAGGATGCACACCGGGCCCCAGGGTGTCTTGAGAGCTCTGTGCACACTGCACCGCCTCCTCTTCCCAGCAAACCTCTTCATCTCCTTCTCCATCTTCCAAACATGGGGCCAAGGTCCAGGAGGCTCCAGGATGCCCAAGGCCACACAGCTGTATGTGGGTGACAGGTCGCAGTGGATGCTGGCTCTGTCGTTGATGCACAGAGGTGCACTGGTTCATGGGGCAGGAGGCCTGGGACCAGCTGGCCTTGCCTCCAGCTCAAGGATGTGGCCACCAAGCAAGGGCTCCAAGGGCGTGTGGGAGGCCTGAGTGCTGAGCGCCACTCACAGGAGGCTCCACTAGGGGGAGCCGCAGCCTCTTGAGCCCGACTTAGCAGGACCCCAGCCACACTGCACCCAGTGCCTGCCACCTCCCTCCTTCCCTCCCCTGCACCCACCCCTTCCCCTGCTCAGGGAGCCTCTCTGCTCCCTCAGACACCTTCTGGATGAACCCCCAGTACCTGATCAAGCTAGAGGAAGAGGACGAGGACCAGGAGGACGGCGAGGGCGGCTGCACCTTCCTGGTAGGGCTCATCCAGAAGCATCGGCGGCGGCAGCGGAAGATGGGCCAGGATATGCACACCATCGGCTTCGGCATCTACGAGGTGGGCAGGGCCATGGGCCCCAGGGAGGGGCAGCCGGGGGCTGAGGCCTGCAGAGCAGGGGCTTTTGGCAGCGCTCTGCTCCTGGGGGGCTGTAGAGCTGAGGTGCCAGCACAGAGAGAGGCAGCCGGTACTGCTGCCCAGACCTGAGTGCCTGCCCTTTCTTTCACAGGTTCCAGAGGAGGTGCGTCTGCCTGCTTCAGCCTCCCCAGGGCTCAGGACTGCCCGTCCCTGGAGTCTTGTGGAGTCTGTATTGTAGTACCAGGGGACCCGAGGGCCCACGGCTCCAAGGGATACGTCTCCCCAAAGCCTGCTAGGGCTGCTGGGCTCCAGATCCCTGCTGTCAGCCCGGGGCCAGGCATGGTCCTGAGGGGCTCTCATCTCCAGACTGCAGGGTGGGCGGAGCTGTTCCAGTGCCCAACCACTGCTGCAGAGGCCTGTCACCAGCTTGTGCACGTGGCAGAGGGCGTTACAGGCTCCCAGGCCGTGTGACCTCTCCATCTGCCATCAGCTGCATGGTGTCAGGTCACACGGGGCCGGAGGAGGCCATAGTTAGGGTTATCGACCTCACATGGGTGCTGATTCTGGAGCAGGCATGCAGGGTGCCCGGCCTCCTACCTCATGCTCCTGCGGGAAGGCAGGGCTGCCGGACGCTTCCTTCCCGTACTTCTCTGCTCCCTTAGTGTATCAGGCAGCCCCAAGTATCAGTTTCCCTGCCTGCAGGGAGGCTGGAACCCGGGGAGGGTGCGCCCCACAGAAGCAGCCCTCAGTGGCTTGCAGGAGATGGCGAGCGTGCGGTCATCTAAGGGACCTGGCACGTCCATGACACTTTGGCCCGTTTTCCTCTGCCTGCCCCTAGCTGGCTGGGCAGACCAACATCCACCTGGGGAAGAACTTCTTCCTGACCACACGCGCCCGCGAGCGCTCTGACACCTTCATCAACCTGCGCGAGGTGCTCAACCGCTTCCGGCTGCCCCCGGGAGAGTACATCCTCGTGCCATCCACCTTCGAGCCCCACAAGGATGGTGACTTCTGCGTCCGTGTCTTCTCCGAGAAGAAGGCCGACTACCAGTAGGTGGTGCGGCGCCCCATCCACCTGCCAGCCAGTCCCCCAGAGGCTCTCGGCCCCATACAGGGCAATGCCCCGTTCTGGACAGTGACCCTATCTTAGCCCTGTCTTTCAAGTGGTCAAGTCCTGGGACCAGGTCAGGGCTGGACCAGGTTAGGGCTGGACAGGGACTCTGAGCTCAGGGATCCTCCTGAGGGGAGCTGTGTGTGGGACATAGGGTCAGGGCTGGGTGACAGGCGACACTCCTGGCCTCTCAGGCTGCAGCAGGGCAAGGAGGTAGTCAAGCCTCTGGACAGCCATGCCCCAAGCAGCACAGCAAGTAGTTCCTCAGGGCTGCAGCCAGGACTCCCCGGAGTCGTAGCTTACATCCATGGGAAACTGAGTCGGGGAGGTTCCAGGCACACCTGGGGTCCAGGCTGCAGCCTGTCCTAGCCAGGGCTTTCGCCACCCTGTGTGTAACAGAGCTTTCTCTCGTTTCCAGAGCTGTGGATGATGAAATCGAGGCCAACGTGGAAGAGGTGCCTGCCCTCCTCTCCCTCCTCAGAGGCCACCGCGGGGAGACAGGGCACCACAGTGCCACCCTGTTGCAACCTGGGTCCTGTCACACCCTTGACACGGACACGCAGGATGATGCGACTCCTTGGTGTCCTGGGGTCCCCAGTTCCTTGGAAGGTGGCCGAGTGTGGAAGGCCTCTCCAGCCAGACACTGAGTGCCCACATGGGTCACAGCCCAGCCCCTTCTCAAGGGTTTAGAGCCCTCTCGGGGCTTCTCCGCCCATCATTCATGGAGACCCCAAACACTCAGAGTGGGAGCTGAGGAGAGGGGCAGGGGTGTCCAGGGGACCGCGCCCTCCCCAGCACCGCCATCTCTGTCCTGGCTTACAGATAGATGCCAATGAGGAAGACATCGATGACGGCTTCCGGAGGCTGTTTGCTCAGCTCGCAGGGGAGGTGGGTGCTGCTCCGGCTCAGGGTCTGTCCTGAGGCTGCCCCATGCCAAAGCAGGGGTGGATCCAGGTCTCACTCTAGGTATTTGGGGGCCCACAGGGGCTTCCGGCGGCCACACAGGAGGACGGAGCTTCCCATCCACATCCAGCGTGTGGCCCTCCTCCTTCCAGTCTCCTCCTCTGTCATGTGAGGGCTTAGTGCTCTCAGTGACCACCACGCCCCTCTGGGCCCCTAGGCCCGCAAAGCCTCCCCAGGTGCCCCAGCCCAGTGCCCAGCCTGCCTTCCTCCTGTGCCCCTGGGGGCACCTGTCACATGCACCCCAGCCCCCTGGCCTCCACCCTGGGGCTGTCACATAAGTCCGTGTTGGCCTCAGCGCAGGCTGCTGGTGCCTGCAGGATCCAGTCAGGGCAGAGAGGGCTGGCAGGTCCTGGAGTGAGAGGGCAGAGTGTGAGTGTCAAGGCAGAGAGGAGGACTGGAGAGGACCAGGGGAAGAAAGGCTGTGCTGGGCACAGAAACAGCCACAAGCTCTGGCAGGAGTGGGCAAGGTAGAGTGGCTCCTGAGGGCTGGGGCCGGCCAGCCAAGGTCACCGGCCAGGCGGGAGAGGTGGTACCAGGAGCCATAAGCCTGGTTGCACGCTCCCTGGCCCTGCTGGAGCAGCAGCCCCACTCTGGTCTTCTTCTTCAGGACGCAGAGATATCAGCCTTCGAGTTGCAGACCATCCTGAGGAGAGTGCTGGCGAGGCGTGAGTGCCCCCCACCCCCATGAACACAGGGGACACAGCCATCTCCCTGGGGGCCCCTCCTACCACCATCCCAGAGCTGCTGCTGGGCAGGGCCTGAGCGTGCAGTGACCTAGAACAGTGGTTTGTTGGGCCCAGAGGGCAAAGCCAGGCGTTCTCCACCAACCAGCCTGATGCCTGACGGCACCCATGGCCTGGCTCACTCTGGTGCCTCCTCTGACAGGGAAGTCAGGCCAATAAGGCACATCCTCTGCATATGGACAGCGTGGTGGCCTTGCATCCGTGGCCGTTCGTGTGGCACAGGGACACTGCTCCCGCAGAGGTTGCTGTGCAGTGCGGCTCTGGGCAACACTTGTCCCGCTGTCTTTCAGGACAAGACATCAAGTCAGATGGCTTCAGCATTGAGACCTGCAAGATCATGGTGGACATGCTAGATGTATCCTTCACATGCTCCCGGACAGCTGGGTGCAGCCCCTGCCTGGACACAGCTCTCTCAGGACAGCTGGGCGTCCAGGCTCACCACGGGCTGAGGGCCATCCCCAGCCTGGACCACGGTGCAGCATGCCTAGCAGCCCATGCAGTCTGGGGTGTTTCTCAAGTGACATTTTACAAAATACTCCGAAACCATAAGACCTCTGATGTGAGCTGGGCGTGTTGGTACACACTTGTAATCCAGCACTGTGGGAGGCTAAGGCAGGAGGACTACAAGTTCAAGCCTGCCTTGGGCAATTTAGCAATTTATTAAGATCCTATCTCAAAGAAAAGTAAAAGGTCCCCCCTAACTGTCCCCCATACCCTGGAGTAACTCCTCCCAGTGCCCCAGATAACAACACCCAGCATGGAGAAGGGCCATGTGCCCCAGCCCACGGCAGATCTCCCACAGGTGTGAGGTGGGCAGTGGGGCATCCTTCTGGAAGCCTTGGGCAGATGACAGGGACAGGACAGGGGACCCCATGCACACATGAGCTTTCCTTGACCGAGCCAGTCCGACGGCAGCGGCAAGCTGGGGCTGAAGGAGTTCTACATCCTGTGGACGAAGATCCAGAAATATCAAGTAGGACCTGCGGGGGCAGGGCCTGGGGCGGGAACACTGCAGAGGGGTCCTTAGTGTAGCCATTCCTGGGGGAGGGACAGCTGCCAGGAGATGGGGTTCATTTACTGTGGAGTGTGAGGACACAAAAGTTGTGAAGATGGATAGACAGACAGATGGACAGACTGTCCGCACATGAGGGTCCTATCTGCCCTCACTTGTGTCACCAAGAGCCATATCAAGGGCTTCCTGAGAAGACTGTGCGAGCCCATGCTCTTGGCTCAAGCACCAACATTGCATGAGGTCCTAAGCAGGGCCTACTGGGAAACAGCTGGCAGAGGTGGCTCTGATTGCCACCGGCTGCAAAAGGCAGGCAACGGGCAACAGGGCAAGGCCAGATCAGGGCACCGCGGGAACCCCTGATGCCAGTTTCTGCTCGTTTGGCTTCAGGTCTTGATTTCTCTAACCGTCTTGCACATTCCAGAAAATTTACCGTGAGATCGACATAGACAGGTCTGGCACCATGAACTCCTATGAGATGCGTAAGGCGCTGGAGGAAGCAGGTAACTCTTGTCCCTCTGTCCTGTTGTCCCTCTGCCCTGTGCCCCTGCCTGTTGAAGCTCTCCTTAGTCAGTGCTGGGCGAGGACAAACACCAGCCGCGTCGCCTCTCTGGCCGGCCTCACCAGGCAGTGACGGCCCTGCCCCAACGCATCTCACATCAGTCTCACCAGCAGGGTAGGAGGCAGAGCTGGGCCACAGTGGACACTCCACACCCCTTTCCAGGCAGAAACAGAACGTCCCGGCCCAACCCAGCAGAAGCCCATGGCACATCTGGCTGTGGATGCAGCTTGGTGCCCAGTGCAGGGGAGACTGATGTGCTCAGGGACAAGTGGGACACTGCTGCTTGCTCTGTTAGCTGGGATGCAATGCTGTGACAGGGACCAGCAGCTTCCTCAAGGCTGCCCTTCATCTAGGAAGCCCAGAGCAGGCGTGGTGCCTCCTGCTGTGAGGATCACTAGCCCTTGCTCACTTACTCAGGGGTACAGGCTCCTGGGACCACTGTGCCACAGCTGCAACTGGCAACAGGCTGGCAGAGGGCTCCTTCTTGTTAGGGGCACGGTCCCCACACCTGCGCACACAGCCACTGCTGGACCTCTGACCTCACCTCAGGAAGCTGCAGAAGTGGGGGGAAAGAGGAAGTGAGCATTAACCACTTCCTCCCAGGATAAAGTGGCTCAATGGTGATTCTGAGCTAAACAGCCAAGGCAGCGAGACACAGGACAGGCGGGAAAGCTGAGCACAGCACAGGGCACGGGCAGGGGACAGCCGACACAGCAGGCACTGGCTTTGTGAAGCAAAACCAGTCTTACTGGGGCACAGCCGGGACAGAGGCCTCCAGGGGCAGTGCAGGTGACCTGCCCTCAGCAGTTTGTCACTTGCCCGCCTGCAGGGTTCAAACTGCCTTGTGAACTCCACCAAGTCATCGTCGCCCGGTTTGCAGACGACGAGCTCAACATTGACTTCGACAACTTCGTTCGGTGCCTGGTTCGGCTGGAGACACTGTTCAGTATGTGGTGTTTGGGGAGTCTGGGGAGGACCCTGAGTCCTGGCACTGAAGCAGCTACCTTTCCCGAACATGGTCATCTGACCACAGCCCACTGTCCAGGAGCCCCAAGACCACGCCCCCAGCACAACCCTGGGGAGCAGGGGAGGGGACGGCGGTGCTGTCCTTAGTGACAGCAGCCACCACACTGGGACGGAGGCCCCTGCCATCCTCCATGCTCTCAGTGTAGCCCACTTTTCCCTGCAGAGATATTCAAGCAGCTGGATCCTGAGGACACGGGGACCATCCAGCTTGATCTCATGTCTGTAAGTCAGCTACTGTAACCCACTGTGGCCAGGGTCTGGTGCTGCTCAGTGCAGCTGCACCCAGAGGACTTGGGTGGTGTGGCCATCCAGCCTCATGGTCTGCTGGGCACGGGCCCTCAGGTGACTAACTGTACATGCTAGTACCCGTTGGCCCAGCTCCTTCCTGATGCTTGAGGCCAAAAAGATACCTGGTTCTTGGCAGCGCTGATCCAAGCACAGCACAAGATGGCCAGCACATGGAAGAGGGGCTTGCACAGGAGGCCCTGGACCACACTTGAGTGCCCACTTAAGATATTTGGCGAAAATTGCTTTTCTTACCTCTGCCCCCTTTAAGATGAAACCACCCACAGGAAGTAGATTTGGCCACCTGGTGATGACTCAGCAGTGCCTGGCCTGATCCCCATTGGGTGCTGTCCTGGAAGGTGGGGGCGCATTCCTGCTTTGGGGCAGCTGCATGCACAGGCCACAGAAAATGTAGGACATGGCCTGTGTTGGGTGAGATGCAGTCACCTGTCCCAACCCTGTGCAACCCCGAGGCCAGTGTCAAGAAACCAGGGCTGGGGCTGGCCACGCCTCCTTCCTCTGAACTCTGGAGGAGCCAGTGAGTAGGCAGCAGCCCCACACCCCCACTGTGCCCTGTGAATATCTTTGTCCAGTGGGAAATACTGCCTCACTGGCTGCGGGGGAACACTATGCATTTGAACCTACTGCCTGAGTGACCCCTGTGCCCAAGCTGCAGTCTCGGCGCAAGTGGAGGCAGCTGTGTGGAGCCCCATCGCCATGTTCTCGGGGTGTCCAGGCCACCTTGGCCCACCCTGCTCCTTGCTCCCTTCTGCTGACACATGCTGAGGTCCAGCGGCCCTGAACCTGCAAGCTCACCCCCATGGTTTGCTGGTTTCCCAGAGGGGCTATGGGCTCTGCCCTGGGGCGCTGCGTAAGACCTGGTGCCTGGGCAAGTCCCAGGCCCTGCCAAGGATCAGAGGGAAAGTTTCAGGTGTGCCAGGGGCTGGTAGGGACCACCTGATTCGAGTTACCCCTGAGCTGGTGCAAGCCAGGCACAGCCAGCAGGTGCAGACATGCTTTGGGTTCTCCTGTCTCAGCCCCCAGCCAGCTTTTCAAACACAACCGTCAGTCTCCCTGAATCGTCTGTCCCTGGGTGTAAAATAGCCTATCATCTCAGAAAAGTCAGCTGAGACCACCGTGCTCTCTTCCTCCCGCAGTGGCTGTGTTTCTCGGTACTGTGAAGCCACGGCTGACGTGCCTGGAGGCTGCAGGGAAGAAAAATCGGCGGGGACTAAGTTTCTGGACACTGTGTATCATCAGGCCCTTGCAATCATGAGAACATTTACGTAAACTGAGGATTGCAGCCAAAAAGCATCTTTCTGAGATGCCCAAACTTTCACATATTGGGTTGAAGGTTTGCATATTACTGTACTAAACGCAAGTGAGCTGCCTAACCCTTCACAAGCATGAAGGAAGCTTTACACTTTTTACCTTTACAACTCTCCTGTTCAGAGCAATACAGTCCAGAAAGACTCGCCGGAAGGTGTAGTATATCAGTCTCCAGGCCTCAAGGGCCTGGCTGGTGATGTCACTATTAAAATGCAGGGGTGGCATTTCCACCTGGCAGCCCTAAGAGGCAGTGTCCCGAGGGCACCGGGAAACTGGTCTTGCTGCAGCCTCAGAGGCCCAGGAGGGTGCATCCTCCTCATCCGGGTCAGCTGGGCGCATCCTCCTCATCCGGGTCAGTTGGGCCTGGCACATACAGTGCTTAGCCCTTGCCACAAGTAGCCTTGGGCACTAGTCCTGCCCACCAGGGCCCACATACCAGCAGCTGGTCCATGGGCCAGGCCAGGCCACTCGTGTCCTGTGTGGATCTCTCCCACACTGTGTGGAGACATAGCAGACTGGTTTCCTGGCCTGACTTGGGGAAAAGCTGGTGACACGGTGACAATGTTGCCTTTTGCCTTACCCTGACCCAGTGTCCTATTGAATAAAGAGTTGCCTGCTGGCCATGCTGCTGTTTCCTTGCTGCAGGACACTGAGAGTCACTGGGGCTCACGTGGCAGTGTGTCTACCTCTAGTTCCCAAATTGGGAAGAGGACACAGAACTCTGAAACACTGCTACTGCCCCTCAGGAGCGGGGCCCTGCTGGTCAGCTCAGCCAGTCTCTGAGCCAAGCACTCGGCCCCTACACAGCTCGGCCTTCACCTCTACCTGCCTCCCTGCTCCTTCCCAGAGTGCAGGCCCTGCTCTCACACACTGCAGGGTTCCTGCCTGCCTGCCAATGGGAGGTCTCCGTGCCTCGTGGCCTCTGTCACGGAGTGCCACGTGGTAGCAGCCGATCAGACTTCCAATTCCAAGCCGCTGCTTCTCCTGACCAGCATGAGTCCCACCCATACCCCAGCCGAGCCCCCCAACCCCACCCTGACCACATCTAGTGGGTCAGGCTTAGGTCACTGTCCTGCGATGACCTGCACCCCTAGTCCTATGGGAGGCCTTGCTCGCTAACTCGGGCTCCTTTCATGTGACTCCCCCATAATGCCCTCCGAGGACCCCTCCCTTAGAATCCAGCAAACCCCAAGGTCAATGCTCCCCAGGGCACAGCCCATGCGACAACTGCGGAACCTCTATTTTCTAAAAGCCTACAAACTGCTACCTAGACACAGGACTCCAGCTTGTAATCCCAGCACTCTGCCAGCTGCAGCAGAAGGATCCCTACATGTTTGAGGCAAGCCTGGGCTAGGTAGAGGCTCTGTCTCAACAATCAAAAAACCCGCAGGACCCCCAACACCAATTACACTATGCCAGGACTGAAAACCACCAGGCTGTGCATTCAACACAGACATCTGACTGGATCAGCTGCACGCTGGGACACTGCACGTGATCAGAAATGCGCTTGCCACAGTCTCAAGCAAGGAGCAGCTTTGTATACTCTCGATTATGCGATGAGAAGAATATCACAGAAAATGCCCCAAAGAAACAGGCCCATGGACCAAGAGCACTTCCAGAGTAGCCTTTCCCACCCTTCTTGAAATTTTAATAATATTGTAACATTCCTACAAGCAGCTTTGATATCAGGATACTTTGACAATAAAGTTAAAAAAAAAAAAGCAAACGGTGTTCCAAGTTTAGGTTGAGGAATACAAAACGGAGGTCACTGTGGCTCCCTATTTTCCTTATGGAGAAGCCCTGTGCGTCACACTCACACAGTTGCCCCCAGCAGCTCTCAGGCACAGAGATGGAGTGGTCAAAGGGCTGCCCACAGGGCGACCATGGCTGGGGTGGCCCCACATGCCAACAGGGTGGCCAGGTGACAAACCTCAGCCCACTCACGACACACATGGCTCACTGTGCCAGCTGAGTGCTCCAGAATCGCCCTCATCTCCCAGCAAAGCATGGAGTCCAGCAGTTCCGAGGTTCCTGGGAGACACAGGGAGGACCCCTTTCGGGCTGCAGTCTCAGCTCCCCCTGGCCACGAAACCGAGGCTCTGCTTCCCACCACAGCTTCTCCTCGGCTCCCAATTCCCAACTCCTGATCCCCAACACCCTCAGAGCCAGTGATGGCAGGCCTAGCCCTCTCTACCCTCAGCAGCTGCCCGCTCTTGTCTTTGAAGCTCGGGATTGCACAGGGTCTAGGGCTGGACTGGACTCATCGCCCTGCAGGCAGGTGTGCAGATCCTGGGATGTGACCCACTCCTCAGAGTCCCTCCACAGGCCAGCTGGGGGCAAAGACCCCAGGGCAGGATGGGAGGGAGGAGTGGTTCCCTTCTGTCCTTTCATCCACTGTCCCCATTGGGATTTAGCTATTCCTAAAAGGCGTGAGGAAAAGCGACCGCTGTTCATGCACATCCTCTATTTACTGTTCTACCAAGCAAGATGGGTTCTAGGACAATTCCTGAGCTTGTGACACACCCGCAAAATCAGTGCAGGCAACTCCCGCAGCAGGGGAACCCGGGCTGGGGAGGGTCACGAAGTCAGTCGCAGGTCTTCCATCCGAGCTGAGGCCCACCCAAGCTCACAGAATGGGAGTTCCATACGCAGAGAAACGCTCCACTCACCAGGCGGTTGCCACCAAGGCCTGGCAGCAGCACCCACCGCTGCACTGGAATGAGGCTGCCCATGACCCCACAGGCAGAAACCGGTGGACAGCTCAGAATCAAAAAGTTTAATTTTATTACAATTATTTTAAAGTCTGCTATGATTCTGACAAGTATCAAAGGTAAGTCTATAACAAGTGTCTAAATTCCAAGATACAAAAGATAATAAATATAGATTCAAATTCAGCCTAAAAACAAGATTCTAAATCTAGTGCAGATTAGGTGGTGTGCCTTAGTCTCCACATTCCAAATGTACGCATAACTCCTAAGACCTACAAGCAACTCCTATGGTACAGTTACTGCTCGCGGCCAGCCAATGGGAACGAGTGTGTGCAGTGCTGCGATGAGGAGGCCCCAGGTCCTTTCTGGCAGGAGACGGGGGAGGGAGCCCTGGAAGGCCCACTGTGGGCCAGAAGCACACCCCACAGCACAGCCCAAGTCCTGCAGGCCTGGTCCGTGGGGTGCGGCCTGCTTCCTGAAAGCCGGGGCCAGTGCAGGGCATCTTCCCCGAGGGGCCTCCTCCTTCATTTCCTCCCACAGCCCATCTTCCACCCCTTCCGGCTCCATCATCCTGAAAGTAAGGCTCGCGGGCCTCTGCCCAGGACAGCTGCAGCATTTCTTCTTAGTGACAGCGCAGATTAAGTCTCCATTAGGTGAAGTTCTGTGATGTTTCAGGCCAAGCTCCTTTGTCTTGGTTTGATTCTCGGATACAGCTGTAAGAGAGTTTTAAAAACTATTTACCATGTACACAGAGGGTGGGGAGTGGACAGAATTTTATGAGCACGGGGAACAAACACAACAGGAAGTCGAAATAAGAACGCACTGGGCCTGGCACTGGGCACAAGGCTACCAACAGACACTGCACAGCTGCGGAGCAGCCACACAAGCCTGTGGACCCAGAGTCCACCTCATGCAGATGGATAACCGGGGCGGCTGGACATGCCCCACTCTCCAGCAACACAAAGACAAAGTTGGCACAGAGCAAAGACAAACTGTCCCCAGTGGACAGAACACCGCGTGGGGGCCTCTAGGCTCAGGACGAAATGCTGCCACCTCAGGTGCACAAAGGAGGAGCACAGCTGCATGCCACGTCAGACGCCATGGCCTAGGACATTCCACTGCTAGGGCTGAGCCGAGGCTGCCACCCAGGCATGCCACACTAGGACTGCCACTGTCCACCTAGCAGAACCTACTGCTCCTCACCTTGAAGGTGAAATTGGGTTTACCACAGACAGCCAGACTTCCGGTCCAGCTGGAACCAAAGTTACAAAAAAGCCTCTTTTTCTAAGAAGAGATATTTAGCCAGAACTCGGTAGCTAAAGACTGCCCCAGAGAGCACCATTTCTGGATTTTTGTATTTTTAAACATCAAAAACAAACAGAGTTGTGCAGAGGGCACTTACTAACACTGCTGACCAGGGAGGAGCCCAGGGGATCAAAAGCATCTAAACTGAGGGCTCCGATGAGACTCTCCTGTGGTCTGGTTACTTCGGAGCCTTGGGGCACAGCCCTCAGTGGGCACAGCCCTGGTGACAATCTCCCCCTGCTGGCAGCAGGCTGCACTTCAGTGATGGACATTACATGGATGCAGGAGATCTGATGTACAGTGCAGCGATTTCAGTCAGTGACAACGCATAACATCCCCGAAAGCTGCTTAAACAGGCTTCATTCTCACTGAAGAAAGGTCGACGGAGGGAGGATGGACGTTAACATGCTTGACTTGGCCGCCATACATACATGACAGGAGAGTAATCCTTACCTGACGATTACAACACTAAAGACTGATGTGAGCGCCCAGCTCCAGGCAGTAATCCTCTCCACAGAGTGCGTGCTGGGCACACGTCCCCAGGATGGGACACTTCTCTACAGGCACCATGTGCTCGTGTCTGAACCATCACTAAACTGTACACCATGATCGCTTAGTGACACTAAGCCCAGAGGAAGCACTTGTCACAGTCTCACTGCCTCGGGAGGGGACAGTCACTGCATGTGACATCACCTGTGCAGCCGTGGGGAGGGTAGTCAGGAGGGGACACTGGGCCAAATCCCCCAGTCAGGCCCAGGAGCTGCACGGCACTGAGCCAGCAGGGAGACCCTGCGGCACCTGCTCCCAGCGGGTGGGGTCTGTGCAGCCATGGGGAGGGTGCCTGAGGCCACTGTTCCACCTCGCCTGCACGCTGCCCTCACAGGTCCTGGGTGCTGCTCCCTACAGCACAGCCAGCAGGAAGATGCAGTCCTGGCAGACCTTGGACCCTGTGAACAGTGCACCTCACCGAGGGCCGCCCTGCCTCCTCCCCGTGCGTCTACCCGTGGCACTCTCTCAGCTATCCTGCTCGCTTCTGTCTTCCACACCCAACACATGTGGGTGCACGGAGACACCAGGACCCACAACAGAGCTTGACACAGTCGTCAAGTTCACCGTCCTCACTCTGAGCACAAGGGGACACCAAACACGTCTGTGTCTAAGAGGTTGCTAGCTTGCAACTGCTTCCTTATAACAGGGAAGCATACGCACGGCCCACAGTCTTCACAAATCCTTCCTCACACACACACACGTGCACATGTGCACACTTACTCCCAGCAGGTTGCGTGGGACGTAGCCCTCCTGGTCACTCAGCCGTGCCCACCACCACTCGATCTCGTCCTCATCCTCCCGGCGGATCACGGTCATGCAGTCTCCTTCCTTCAGGGGCAGCTCGTCTGCATTCTGAGGCTCATAGTCCCACAGTGCGTAGATGATGCCTTTGTTCATGACACCCATCTTCTCCTGAACCCCTACAGAGGAGACAGGAATGGACAGTGGACAGGCATCACTCGGGGTGCCTGGGACTGGCTGGGAGGTCAGAACCCCTCAGCACACATTTGATGATCCATCTCCAGGGTGAATAAGGAAGAAGATCAAGGCGCACAGGGCACACGGAGGACACGCAATGCCACTAGCGTGTGTACTGAGGTTCCGACTATAGCCCCATCGGCACCCTTCAAACCATCTCACTGCAAGAACACAGTTCCTGCCAGCCCAGGAGCTAGGGCTGCTCAGTCTGGGGTGCTACAAAAATAAATGATCCCCCTGTCACCTTTTCGGCCCCCTGCTCAATGTAATGAGCAAGGAACTCTGAAAACATTGCCTTTTACCTCAAACCCACAAAGAGACTGAAAAGATCAGCATATTGGTGTCTATTAAAGGGGTCTCTATTGAGCCCCAAATGGGCAAAGGAAAGAAAACACACTCCAAAGCATGGCAGAATGCAGACATTCAGCAGTGTAGACACAGTATAAAAGCTTACATGCAATCTACTCTAAAATAATGAATCAGAATTTAAAAGATACTGAAGTCCCCAAACGGGGGAGGGAAAAATCTTCAAAAGGCCACCTTTCCCTTGAGTGACTAACCCCTCTGTAAAACAGCTCTTGGTGTTTACCTTTCTCTGTGCACCCCTTCCTGTCCTGAAGGGCCACACTAAGCAGAAAGCAGTCACCAGCCGCAGCCCACGGGCAAGGCGGACAGAAGGAAAGCTTCTCAGAAACTCCGAGTTCACTATTATTTTCACCTTTATGTCATTAAAAAGTCCAGGGAAATACCCCTTGCCCTTGAATAGAACCTTCAACTTGTACAAGCACTGAAGTATTAGTTCTAAACTATTTTCACTGTAGCGGTGCACATCACTGACGTATGATTCTCCCTGTCTGTCTCTTTCCCTCTCTAGGCAAAAATGAAACACCAAACAATGCTCACCAAAGGAATGCTCTTCCAATCTAAAGGGCTGCATAAATTTCTAACTTTCCTGCTAAACTAAGACTTGTAAGCACGACAGAACAAAACTCACGGTACAGCTGCAATTCCACCCAGTTTTGGAACTGCACATGCATCTGTTGGGGATAGAAGTGGAGAAGCAGGCAAAGAAGAAATGCTGGACGTTTTAACATACTCAAAATAACAGCTCAAGTCCTAGTTTCTGAAAAAGCACTAAGAATGGAAAAAAATTTTTTCATTACTTTGCTATTTACCAGCTGAAGGGCTACAAATTAGTTTTTTCACAAAATTTTTGAGAGTCCTAAAAACATGCCCAGTATCACTGGTTATTTTGGAAAGGTAAACTGAAGCCAGCGTGACATCACCCCGAACCCCCCAAGGTCAGTGGGCACGGGCACCAACATAGCCCAAGAGGAGGCCCAGCAAGAGCCAGAGCAAGGAAGGGCTGCACCCTGGGTTGCACCCCGGCTCTGCACACCCTGACACGCAACACGCCAGCCAAGAGTGGACCCTCCCTGCCCCCCATAGCCACGGCCAGGGCCAGGAAAGGGGCACAGGCAGAGGCCAGCGTCTCTCCTCCCAGCCCCGGCCCACTGCACAGGAGCTCCGGAGAGCTGGGGTACAGAGCCCCAGGCCGCACTTCATGTCGCCCGCCTGACCCCAAACCCTCTCAAGGCAACCTGAAGAAAACAATTAACTTCAGCTTCTAAGGCTTGTAAATAAAAAACTTTTCCTAAATAAAAACAAAAGCACCTTGGACCTCCCTAAACCTCCAACTCTGGTTTTCTGCAGGGACGGGTCTGATGTCAGCAATCAGAATCACTAGCTCACACTCAAGGAACCAAAAGAAAAAAGCTCCGAACTACACCCTGCCCTTGACTCCTGATGGCACAGGAAACAGGCTGAGGGTTCTCGCACCGGTGGGGCAGGGGTCACTTCCTGCCTGCAAGGGCCCAGCACTGCTCCGCCCTGGAGCCCATGGGCTCTCCTGGGTCACGGCCCACTGCAACCTGCCCTCTGTGCCCAAAACACCACCCCCGAGATGCCCTGCAGTAGGCCAGGAGCACGCACCGTAGAGGAACTGCGAGCACTGCGTGTAGCCCTCCTCCAGCTCCTCGCACTTGTCGGCTGCCGTCTGCATGTCACTGTAGGTCATGGCAAACACAGCCGCGCCCGACTCCACGAGGAACTTGCACACCTGCACGTTGTTACAGGAGGCTGCGCAGTGCAGCGGAGTCCTGCGGAGAGGAGGGGTCCATTTCCAGCCTGGGTGCTGCTACTGCAGCCCTCACCGCCCAGCCCAGCCCAGTCCTTCTGTAGCTGTGGCACTATCGTGTGTATGGTGCTGGGGGTCGAGCCCAGGACCTGAGCAGTAAGATACATCTCCTACCCTTCTTGGTTTTTTAGTTTGAGACAGGGCCTCACTGACTTGCTGAGTTCACCAGGCTGGGCCAGAACTCAGATTCCCCTATCTCTACTCCATGGAGTGCTGGGTGACAGCGGTGCGCCACCAAGCAAGGCCAGGAGCCGGATGAAGGATGGGGAGAACCAAGGAGACGAGGTTCACACCATAATCCCAGAAGGGAGGGTGAAGTGGTTTGGTTCTGTGTCCGATTCCCCAGCCCCGTCACTGCTGCCTGTCAAGGACCTGTGTTTCTGCCCTTGAAACACCCTCTATCGCTCCACGCTGGAAGAATCAGTGTACATGTACCTTGTCTACAGTGTTTCCTAAAACCCAAAGTAAACTTTCATCGAAGCTATTTATCAATTCAATTATTCAGTTCAGATCAGAAAAGTGCGGTGCCGTCTCAGGTACTGACGGGCAGGATGTGCTGATGCCACCAGGGGGAACCATCAGCACCGCACAGTCTTAGATCACGGGCGACCCGTGTGCATCTCCTGTCCCAGGGAGCCGGCCTGGAGCCCGTGGGCCGGCACTGGCGCCTACCTCTCCCTGTTACACTGTTCCCTCAGGTGCGTGGTCTTTAAAAGAAACAGTAACTTCCCTGCCTCACTGCAGGGAACTGCTGATGGCTGGTGGATGTTACCACAGCTTTCCCTACGTCACTTTTTACAGAAAAATTATACACAATCAGGACTCCTCACATTAGGGCAACAAAGACATCATGGTACAGGAGGGATTTGTTTAGACTGAAGAGTTACACATGTGCACACACAGGGGAATGATCTGAGCTACCTGTTTAAGGCACACACAAAGCCTGGCGGTGGCGGGGCCGTGCTAAGGCCCTGGTTCCATCCCCAGCACATGAGGGAAGGGGGGGGTGCAGAATCGATGCTGCTCCACTGCAGGCCTCAGAGACGCCCTGACTTCTGCTCATCTTCCCAGTTCTCTACACTCCACATTTTCCACCATGGGTCTATGGTACTTTTACAAATAGGAGCTTTTTAAAAAGTGCAATCTAAAAGCTTCCTTCAGTATTATTTACGATAAAAACATCCAAAAAGAAAATCAATCCAAATGACTAGCAAGGGGGAAGCAGCCAGGACAGATGCGTCCTTGGTTCCTCCACGGAGTAACAGGAAGCCAATGCACATGTATGTGTGAGCCCCGTGTGCAGCTACACGCGTGCTCATGAAGATCTAATACTGCAGCGTAACTGCCTCTCACATTTATATGTCAGCCGGGAATGTCCCTGCCTGGAGGTACGATGGGCCGGGGTGCAAATGCTAGGAGCTGAGGCCTGGAGCGAAGAAGGGGACCAGGCGGCTTGGGAGGGGCATTCTGTCCCTGGCCAGGACCCTGCGCTCCGTCCTCAGCCTCACCTTCTCCCTCCCTGGGCCTCAGTGCTGGGGCCACTGACTGGACAAAGGCCTCTGCTCTTCCTGTAAGTCACAGCCCTCAGCTATTCCATCAGAGCTACAAAGAACTAACACAGGACTAAGGAAAGCGACAGGTTTAAAAATAAAAATACTATTGTACAGGAGCACAACTTTTTTTACAGCTGCCCAAGGACAAAAGTAGCCTGAAAATTCTAAGTGGAAAATTCCAGAAGAAACTCCACGAGGGCCGCACTGTACCTGCTCTGTCTGTGTGATGTGATGACAAGGTGCACGGCATGCCCTCCCGCCCTGCGTGTCCATGCTGCATGTGCTGCCTGCCCGCTAGTCACCCAGTCGCTGTCTTAGTCACTAACGGTCCCTGCAATGCTCCTGTTCAAGCAGACAGCTGCTCCGTGTGGACACACTCATTCCTCAACACCTGAAGCCGCACCGCTCCAGCTGCACATGCAGACAGGGGCACCTGTGGGGCGCTGCTGGCCCCCAACAGCGCAACAGCAGCACACACATCAGCTGGGCAGGACCCTTACCACCCGTCGCTGTCTGCGGCATTCACATTCACCCCGAACTGCACCAGGAACTTCACGATCTCTGTGTGGCCAGCGCACACAGCGTTGTGCAGCGCGGTGATACCCTCGTCATTCGGCAGGCTGGGGTCCTCTACCTGGAATCACCAAGAGACACAAAAGTGACTTCTGTCACCTCGGCTATCACTACTGACTCCTCAGAGTCACCAGCATAGAGACAGACTCTGTGACAGCTTTTAAAATCACAGTGAAAACCCACAGGAGCCAAGAGGTCTAAACCAAGAACAATCCTAGAAATAAGACAGATGGACCAGCCAGAGGTCCATCTGAGGTCCATTTTACAGTGAGTTTTTACACTCACTGTAAAAAAAGATGTTTAAAAAAAAACAGATGTCATTTGTGTTTATCCTCCTAGCTCCTACATGGATTGGTTTCCAAGCAGAAGCTCCATTTACTATGGAAAAGGAAAGAGGCAACTAAAAATACTTTAAATAGCAGCCTTCGGAAAAGCAGGGACCACATCTGTGATCCCTGCGCATGTGTGGTGTTTAAAGAGCCGTGCTCTCCCCTGGACCAGGAGGGCTCTAGAAGATGCCAAGTGAGGGGGACGCCTCCACATCAAAATGTTAGTCACACGCTTAAAACAGTGGAGCCTGTTTTAGCGTATGTCTCAAAGCTCCTCAACCCCACAACCCTAAAAAAGAAATCTAAAAATACACCTTCTCTAGAGTAACTTTCTAATTCAAGCTTTAAAGCAAAATCTACAAGGTTGTATTCCAGAAACGCCATGATGGTTGCCACACCTCATAAATGATTCTCTGCACGAGGTCGAATTCTCCTTCCAGAGAGGAATCCAGGAGCAAGGCGAGAGGGTTGAATTTGACCCTCATTCCATGCGCGATCCGCTCCGAGCCTGTTTTACGCAAGTTTGTCCTTTTGCCCTGCAGAAGAAATTCATGGAAATCGAAACAAAAGCAATCAAAGGGGAGGAGGAGCCCAGCAAAGGCAGTGAAAGGAACTTTGAGAACATTGCAGACTGCGTGATCAGAAAAGCACAGGGAACACAGCATGCACTTCACCAGGGCCACAGCACCACTCCCTCGGGGCTGAAGGGAGGGTCCCAGCCTGGAAGCTCCTGGGGACAGCACAGGGAGACACAGCGATGGGGCAGTGGGTGGGCGTCCCTGCCACGCACCTCACCTCCAGAGCTGGGCCTCTGTGCGCTCACTCTGAGGCTCACTGGGACAAAAGCCCATTGATCTCGCCTCACAAAGGCCCCACTGTCCCCACTCACACAAAAGGGACTGAGACTCAGCCAGTGAGCGCAGAGCGGGGCTCCAACCCTGGTGACTGGTGCAGGCCAAAGACACAGAGAACCAAGCACAGAGACTGTGGGGTTAGCAGGGACACCAAGGGACCCTGCTGGGCCTGAAATGTTCTTTAAGAAGCCAGGCTTCTTAAAGGCACTGGGCGTGGTAGCACAGGCCTGCAATCCTAGCTGCACAGGAGACTGAGGCAGGTGTGCTGTGAGTTCGAAGCCAGCCTGGGCAGTTGAGGGGGACCATCTCAAAAACACAATGAACAAGGGCTAGGGTGCAGCCCTTGCCTGGCATGTGTGAGACCCGGGGTTCAGTCCCCAGTTCACATACACACACACGAATTTGAATGACTAGCTCTAAATCCTATAAAACAGGTTTTCAAACACATCCAAAGAAGCAGAAAAGTTCCCTAAAGATTCGATGCACACTTCTCTCTGATTTTATATCAGGTGTAGAAAACCACTGAGTTCTGAAAACATCAAGGGGCAAACGATGCATCTCACCCGTGTGTGGTCCCCACCTGTGCCCCGTTCTAGAGGCCTGTGCTGTGCCTGCCCCAAGGCACCTAGAAGCACCCACGCCTAGCACAGAAGCAGGGCGCACTCTCCTGGGAAGACCCCGCTGCTCTCACACAGTCTGGCCTCTTTCTCCTCCTCGAAAGTGAGTTTTCTTGACAAAGCCTCACCGGCTGCAGTGCACTGGTCCAGCCGGCAGGGCTTGACTGCTTCCTTCTCTCTCACACTCAAGTCCAGCCTCAGCCCTGAAGGGCTCAGAGAGGTTTAAAAAGCCTCAGTCTCATTTTAAGACATCCATCTCTGAGTAGAAATGCTTATTCCCTAAACCCACAAGCAGACGTTTACCACAGCCATGAGGCAGCCACACACTCCTATCATCTTTGAATGCCGTTGCAGCCAGAAGGCTGTAGAAGGGACTGAGCACAAAACCCACAGCAAAACGCCCACAGTAAGATGCCACTTTGCTTTTACGGTGTCTTAACTCTGAGCTCTACATTCTACTTCCGTGCTCACAGAAACAGCGTGAATTCCAAACAAATGCCCTGGGGACGTGCTGCAGCTCTCATTCTCTCATCTACTCCACAACGACACTGTGAGCTCCCACACCAGCGCTGGCTCCCTGGAAGGGTTCTGAGGCAGCCCCCCAAGCCAACCTGCCCACTGTCAGCACCCAAAACTCACTCACCTTGCTCATGCGACACCCCACACTGCACAAAAATTTAAGAAAGTTTTTTTAAAAACTCACTCCTGGAAAAAGATTCAAGAAAGAATGGCAGTGCCCAGAGGAGTCATGCCATCCACCGGTGTCACACGGCAGACTGGCATTCAAGCTGCAGTCTGCCTCAGTTTGCCCACCTGCCCACCTGGAGTAAGAGCTGGAGAGGAAACTGCAAACGCCACCACTGTGGGGATGGGAACCAACGCTGCCCTGCATGAGAACGTGAGGGTCTCAGACTCCAGGGACCTCCCTTCTCCTAAACATCCTGAGCTTCTGTTTTGTTCTAGCTGTTTTCTGAGACACGGACTCACTCTGCAGCCTCGGCTGGTCTTGGCCTCCCAGCCTTCCTATCTCGGCCTTCTGTGTGCTCACCACTATACCCTGGTTCCACATACACTGTCACGTTTCTAAGATCAACCCTATGCCAAGATAAAATAAAGGGCAAACAGCAGGACAAGGCCAGGACCCGGAAAGAGAGCGACAAGGCACAGATGTGGTGTGGCTGGTGACCAAGGGGCACTCACGGGAGGCAGAGCACCCTGGCCTGTGACCTCCGGGGGGCGCATGCTGGCAGGGTCTTCTCCAGGTACCTCAGGCTCCCCAGAAGGGTAGGGCGGTGGGGGGTACGGAGGGTACTCTTCCAGGTATACCTCCAGCAGGTGGGGAGGCTCTGCGTGGGGCTCCTCTGCGGCACCCTGGGGACCCGGGCTACTGCCCGAGGTCCCTTCAGGTACAATGTCGAGGCCTGGGAGAGGAGCAGGCCTTTCACTGTCCTCTGCCCTGGTGGGCCCTGTGACCTCTGGGGACAGTGGCTCGGCAGTGGGGGCAGCCTCCTCCTCGGGCTCCACGAGCAGGTAGGGGTTGGGGATGGGGATGTCCCCAGGGCTTTCCGCATCAGGAGGTGGGGGTGCGGGCGCCTTGCAGGTGTGCGAGGGCACCGAGATGGTCTCCATGGCAGCGAGCGTGGTCCTCTGGTACAACAGCTTCTGGATGTTGGGTCCATTGGGCCCCTCAGGCTCCGTGATGGAGCTGCGCTTCTTCAGTGGCCGAGGCGCGTTGGACAGCTTCTTGCGCAGGGCCTCCAGGTCGGCGTCGCTCTGGTTCCGGTAGGGGTGGGACAGGAAGGGCAGCAGCTTGGTGGGGCTGAGTGGGCGCGGGATGCGCTCATTCTCCTGGCTCTCCTGGGCCGAGGACACTAACTCTGCCTCGGGCTCTGGGCTGCTCAGTGGTCCCTGGCCACTGCTGTACACGTTCTCGGGCTGCTGCTGCTGCTGCTGCTGCTGCAGGTTCTGGGCCGCAGCAAGCACGGGCTTGCCGTACACTAACCAGAAAAAGAAAACAACAACAAAATCATAGTTAGCACTGCTAACTGTGGGCTCAAGAGGTTTCCCCTGAACCACAGGAGCCACCGCTAAGCCTTGGGATGGTGCTGTTGGAACAGGAGGGGCCGGGTACCCTGCTGTCCCCACCGCAGGTGGCGGGGGCTCACCGCTGGCAAAGTGTGGGCCTCGGGGCTGCGTCTTGGTCATCGCGCTCTGCACAGCCTGCTGGAAGTTCTTTCCCGGCGCCGGGTGCTGTGTGTACATAGAGTAGATGGAGCTCGCTGCCACTGTCTGGGGCTTCCTGAAGGCCGGCAGGGCAGCCTCTTTGGGAGGCTGGGGCGTAAAGGGCCGGACCGCAGCGGCGGGCGGATTCTCCTGCTTAGGTCCCACCGACAGGCCATGGTCATGGCCACCTGAAGGCACACCAGGGGATAGCACGGCCCTCGGCTGAGGCCCTGCGGGTTTGGGCTTATGGCTCATGGCCGGCACTGCTGCTGGCAACTGCTGAAGGGTTCCATCCAGCTTGGCGTCAGATTGCGATGGCCCGGCTTGTCCAAAATAAGGCAGGTTAATCTGCTTCGGTTTTGTAGGAACCGGAGGTGGCACTTTAGCCACGTTCTTGTTTGCAGCCTATAACACACACACACACACACACACACACACGGTAGTTAGGGTACTGTATGCTGGGCAGCCAGGGTTAACCCCACCTCACAAGCATAAGTGCACCCTATAAAACGTTCGCCCTGAGGGCTGGGGATTTAGCTCAGTGGCATAAGCACCTGCCTTGCAAGCAGGCAGTCGTGAGTTCGATCCCTGGTACCGATAAAAATGAAAAAGACAAAAAAAAAAAAAAAAAGAGAGAAAACGTTCGCCCTGTTTCTTCATCTCTTACTGGATCTCACCTAACAGAGGCTTCAGGAATAGGACAGGCTCCTCCCAGACCATCTGATCCACCCTGCCTCCTGTTTGGGCATGGTAATTGCCACTTGAAAACACCCTGCTGCTGACCTGCACATTCACAGATGGCCTCCCTCCACGGCAGCCACCTCATTTACGAGCCTTGCACTGCCTCGGCCACCACCATCAACACTACCTAACCGGAGTGGTCACAGCAACCTGCTTATCCACCAGTTTGACACAAGCCCAGCCCCGGACTTCATAGAAGTCAGATACCTGAGCAGCACGAAGCCTCTGCTCTTCACGCATGTACACTCTTGGAATCACACGACACACAGCCTGGACACAAATGCACGGGTCCCTCTCCCAGCAGCAGAGAGCTGCCGGACCCAATCCTCCAGTCCCTGAACCTCTGCTGCTCTCTGACCTCTCCCCACACCGCACACCCCACCAGGTGGGCGCCGCACCTGGGCATCCCGCAAGATGTCCTCGCTGCTCTGGTTTTTCCGCAGTGTGCCAAAGCCCGGAGGGATGGCGCCCTGGTCCACCGTGTCAAACATGGAGAACGGCCGCACCTTCTTCTCCTTGTCTCTCAGCGAAACCTCCCCGTCGTCAGCTGAGGACAGGAAGCGATCACAGCGAGCTCAAGCAGCCAGAAGGAAGCTGCTTCTCCCCCAGGAGCCACCCGCTAAGCCCCGCCCCCTGCTCTGATGCTGGGCTGGTAACACCGCCATGGTGACCTCAGGTCAGTCAAAGTGTCCTGAAGTCAACTAAATGCTGTTGACCACTAGGAGCTGTCTCCAGGTGCCACACACTAGAAAATGACCCACCTAGGAAAGGAGACGCAGTTCCCACCCTTTGGGTGATCAGAAGGCAGAGTCCAGGAGCTGCAGGTATAACCTCACCTTGGTCAGGGGCCGGCCTAGCACCCTGAGGCATGGAGAACAGGTCTGCGCCTGAGGGGGTCCAGTCGGGGACAGCAGGAGGGGCTTTCGGGCCTAGAGTACAGAGAGGCGGTGTCTACACCTCAGTAAAGTATGCTTGTGACGCTTCTGGGGTTCACTTGCTACTAATACTTTCATCTCTTCACAACAGCTTTGAATGCACACTCACAGCTGCCTGGGACGTGTATTCAGCCTACACTGAAGAGAACTCTGTATTTCTCATTTGGGGCTCTCCTGCTGCACCTCCAGCAACTGAAGCATCTGCAGGAGTCAGCGAGGCCTGGCTCCTCCTCCCGGTAACAAAACCTCATGGGTGACCACAGCACACCTGCCACGCAGTGGGGCCGAGCCAGAGATGCCACTGCCCACAGTGCCCGGGTGACCTGTGCCTACACAAAGGCCCTTGGGTACTCGATGCCCATTTGCAACCTCAGCCTCCTCGAAGCAGGGTTTGCAGGTTTTTACCCTGGTGTTTAAATGTGAGGTAGTGTGGCTTTGCTTTTTTCCTTCTAGAATTAGAATAAACAGAGCCAGACGATGCGGCTCTGCTTCCTCCCAGTGCAGTGACGCTTGTTACCCTCCACTCAGAACTGGGCGCAGAGGGTTTGGATGGGCCACTGTTGGAGAGGCTCCGGACCCTGCACTTCCTGTCTCCTTCCAAACAAAACCCTGCCGCACGTCCATACATGTGCTACACAGGACACAGTGTTACGGCTCTTTTCACCCTGAAACTCTAGGATGTACTTACAACTCTGTTCTAAAAACTACCAGTGGGTGATCAATCACACATGCACACACAGGTCATTGACAGAACAGCCATCGTCCCCTTCCATAAGGACAGCACAACTGTTCCTACAAATGGGGTTTTCATGTGAAAACAAAGGCTCTCGAGTTACTGACATCAGACCACAGCTCCTACCTAACAAGAAGCGACTTTTCAAAGTACCTGTTAGATTTGCAGAGTATTACATTTCATTTTCTGAAAAGAATTTATATTCAGGGTTTTTTAAAAACTTACCAGACAATATAAAGAGAATCTTAGATTTCAAACATGAATAAGAACACGGATCAATTTTGTCTCTAACTCTGACTTGGGGGACGGGGCGAGACGCCGCAGCGCTGTCACCTTTGGCTTGCAGTGCAGCTGCGGTCCTCATGTTGGGCAGGGTCTGCATCTTTGCTGGCCCCTCCAGGGCCTGCACGGTCAGGGGACCATCGAGCGGCGCCGGCTTCACCAGCAGCTCTGGCCTCGGCGGCATCCGAGGCATGGTAGACGACTGGATGTAGGGGCCCACGGCAGCCACACGGCTGGGGGTAGACGCTGGTGGCTGGGTGAGATTCCCATCGGGCGAAAGCTGGGGGAAAAAGCCCAGGGCCATGAGTGCCGGTGCCCATCGCAGATGCCAGGAGCCCCGGCCCACACTCGGTCCCAAGGTGGGGCGCACAGGGCGCTGGGGGAGCCTGACAGCAGGGCCGCCTGCCTGCCCGCCCGCCCGCCTGCCAGCCTCACCGGCAGGTTCTCCTTCTGCTGCAGCGCTGCCTTCTTTTTCCACAGCCGGTCTCGCAGCTCGCTGACTCGCCGGTCCATGACGGCCACCTCGGAGTTGCGCTTGTTCAGACATTCCCTCTGCTGCTGCAGCCTGGCGTTCTGCTCCTGGTTCAGCTTGTTCCTCAGCTGCAGCAGCAGAGGGGCCGGACTAAGTGGCCGAGGACACAGCAGGAGGAGGAACCTGTCCCTGGCAGGCCACCACGTGGTTGGGTGTGGCCGGTCCCTAAAACTGTGAGGTCCTGCCACACACCGCGCTCTGGGTTAGAATTAAGGGACATCTGTGCTGGCTGCAGTTGTGCCTGTTTCCTGTCTGAGGTGCCATCAGGTTTATTCTGGTCCTCTGGGACAATGCCACCCACCCCATCCTCCCAGGAAGAGCAGCTGTGGCCAGGCACTTCTTGCCACCCCAGCTCCCCAGACTGCCCCCCACCCCTCCACACGCACCTGCAGTTCCTTGTACAGCCGGTCCAGCTCGGCCACCGCAGACTGGCTGTCATGGTGGCCATCAATCCTGCCACTCCTCAGCATCTCCAGCTGCCTCGTGAGCTCCTCAACTTTGGACACAGCCAGGACCAGCTCCCTCTGCTTCTGCTGGAATAAACTATTCATCTGCTCAATTTCCTCCACTGCAACAGGAGAGAGAACAGAAGAGAAGAATAGAGGTGGATGCCTTCCCGGAACCAGGCACTCCTGACCAGTGGAGAAACCTTTCAGAACAGCCTGGACCCAAACTCAGCCTTTCAGAAGCATCTGAAAGGAACCTGGACATCGCTAAATGTCAGGGCAGCATCTGGAGGAGCTGCAGGGTTTGCACAATGAACGTTATGAAACATTAAACTCCACATCTGAGAACAATGAACTTTTATTCTCAATTGTATAGTAATGGACTGAACTACTAAACTACTAAAATCCCATTTTAAAATGGTACTGTAATAGATGGAGCTGTTATATAAGACCTTTATCTTCACTAAATTCTTAATCAAAACTTAATTCAAGAGTTAAAAAAAGGATATTTCCAGGGTTAATTTGAAAAACCTACTGAAACAGTGCTAAACTTGCAACTTGCAACATTAAAACTGCATTAAACTGTGTTTCTTTCAAAAATTTCTGTTAGTCACCTATAAAAAGACTCATTTTCTAAACTGGGCCTGGCAGGACATGCCTGTAATCCCAGCACTCTGGAGGCTGAGGCAGGAGGATCCTTCCAAGTTTGAGACAAGCCTGGGCTACAAAGTGAGCTCAAGGCCACTTGAACTGCATAGCAGGACCTTGCCTCAAAAAGACAGAAAGATTCATCTTCTCAGCAGAAACTCACATAAACTCCCAAGAGTCTGGCATCCATGCAGCCCACAATCATACATCTTGTGTCCACTCATCCAGCGTCCACTCAGCCCGTGGCCCAGCTCACCCAGCCTCCCATTGCTCAGCCGCTTCTGCTCGACGTGGCCCTTAAGCGCCCGCACTTTCTTCAGCTTGGCTTCCTGGCTCTCAGCCAGCTCTCTCAGCCTCTTAAGCTTCTCCTGCTCAGCGGCCTGGTGCTGTTGACGCTGATCTTGCTGTTTCAAAAATTTTAAACGCTGCTCCTAAAGACGAAAACACGGAGGGCAGTCACTGCAGACCCTCGAGATGCAGGCCCTCCTCCACGTTGAGGAAGGAGCTCACACCCATGGGAGGCAGTGTGTGAGGCTGTTGGTGTGTGAGAAGGGACCCAAATCCAGGCCAGACCCAAGCTCAGCCTGGGGTGACCCATGAAGTGGCTCAGACCAGGAGGGGGTCCAGCCCCACAGCAAGGCCTCCACGGTCTCCGCTCAGCCACACCACAGACCACTGCAGCCAAGTTATGGAAACTGTAGCTTTCACACTAAGATGCTGACTGCAACTAGGAGCAGAGTCACAAACCTACAACCAGAAGCGAACATGGGTGAGCATGCCCACCACTCAGTGTCATGGACGCCATGCAGCCAGAGGCCCGGCTGGCCAACCCCATCCTGTGGGACTCTTTTTTGCAGCCCATGCCAGCGCCGCTCTGCCTCCTGAGTCAGAAGGCAGAGGCTCTTGGACAGCTCGAGGACTCTCCAGCCACGGGAAACCACTGGGTGTCATCCCAGCGGCAAGGGACAGCGCTCACTGCAGCATAGGTGCTGGCACACACGGCCCAGGACGGGTCCCCTGGCTGTTCCTGTGGGGGTGTTGCTGGTGCATGGCTGCCCACGGAAAGAGCTAGGAGCTGCCATTGAGGCCACGCAGCACTTGGAGAAGCACAGGCTGGTGGCGGCTGGCTGACAGCAGACTCTGCCAGGACTCCAGGCAAAGATGCAAACTGGCTTTGACAGGAACCAGGAGGATTCTGGTAAGGGCCTTCCTGACTCACAGCCAGGCACAGGGCAGCTTTGTGGGTAAAAAGTGTCCCCCATAAGGCAGTAGCCTGCAGCTGGTCATGAGGAGCACAGGGACAGTGTTAGGTCAGTAAGCCTTAGAGTCGCTCCAGCTGCAGCCCAGTGGGGCCCCACAGACAGAGCAAGGGGCTCCTAAGACTTCTGGTTCATCCACCCCGGCTGCAGGGTCAATGGGAATCACATTCAGGGGTCAGGCTGGCTGCTGTGGCTTTTCCAGCTACTCAGGGGCTGAGGCAGGAGGGTCACTGAACCAAGAGTCTGAGGCCAGCCTGGGCAACACAACAAGGCATGCACTACAACCCTCCAAAGGTGGGCAAAGACCTTGAGTGAGTGGAATGACACAGGCATCCTGCACAATGCCAAGGCAAGGGGAAGCAAGTGCCAGGCACAGGGGAGGTGAGGGCCAGTGACAGCCCTCCTCCATAAGGGGCTGGCTCAGGCACAGGTGATGGCAGACAGCTTCGCATAGGTGCTGGCCACGGGGAACAGACACTACCTTGGTGGCCAGCATCTGCTGCTGGGCCTCGATCTGCTGCTGCTGGCGAGATGCCATCTCCTGGAGCTCAGCAAGCGTCAGGTCCACGCGGGCACCGTTTACCTGCAGCGGAGACACCCGAGCTCTAGCCTACTGCATTACGCAGCAGCCAGCGCAGCCACAGGGGCTGAGGCAGCCTGGGCAGCACAGCCAGACACTATCTCAAATTTGGCCACTTTCCTTCCTGCAAGTGATTATAGCAGCCAATGAATTCGCTAAAAAGATACTAGGACCTCTCTGACATACTTTGTTGTTGGCTGGTGATACATTCAGCATCTGAATTCTTACACTCTTCTTCCTGTGGATGTCACTAAAAGTGACAATTTATAACAACCTCTGGGGGTCGGATACAATGTATACAGCCCCCAACCTTTGGGGCCGGATACAAAGATACAGCTCAAGGTGCCGGAGAGATGTAAGGTCACAGAGCAGCCACCTGGCTAGGGCAGCCGGCAGACAGAAGGGACACTCACTCCGTTCTCCTTTCTCCGGGGCTCTGCAGGGACTTTCACACCATTTCTTCTCAGACCTGGATCCTGAGGCCGCAGGCCACTCACTAAGCACAGACATGAGAGAAGGGGACGTTAATCCCAGAGCCAAGGGCCTGCACTGCTCCCGCGTGAGTTTTGTCCTCACTGTGTGAGCTCGGCATGAATGGGCACCCAACCTGCTCCAAACTGTGATGGGCTTGGGTGCAGGGTAGAGACAAGTCGGCCCCAGAGCACCCCAGACCCCAAGTCCACTGAGAAGGTGCTGAGCTGCCTGCCTGCAAAACAAACACCCTCGCACTGCAGCTTTCATGCCATTCGCCAGTGTCCTAGTTCTGTGCTGCTCAGGAGTGAAACCAGGGAGCCTCACAAAAAGCAGTAACTGAAATCAAGCCCGCCAGCCCTCACAGTCATCTTGACTGTCCAACACCTGCACAGGACCAGGAGAACAAGCGTTCTGCAGTCAGTCTCCAGCACGCTTTGAGGCACTTGCTTCCATCTTCCTCTCGGGAAGAAAACTACCTGAAAGCACTGAGCGTTTCGATTTTTTGGCAAAAATAATTTTCTCAGTCCCATTTAATGCATCAGAAAAAGAAAGTATTAATTTAAATCAATATAATATAAAAAATATCAACATAGATCTTCTAAAATAAACTCCATAATTGTAATCCCAGAAATCAGAAAATTACCTCCTAAATGTCTGTTGTGCTGCCGAGAAGCACTACAAATCTCCGTGTCAATAAAATCATAAGTGTATCTCCCCTTAGAGCAAGACGTAACACTTACACTCAACTGTCACAGCATAAGTGTATTTTCACTTTTATTTTTATTTTCTGCAATACTGGGGATTGAAGCCAGGGCTTTGCACGAGCTAGGTAAGGGCTCCATCACAGAGCTGCAACCGTGGCCCATATTTTTTGTTTTGCTTTGCTTTTTTGTTCTTTTGAGACAGGGTCTCATTCTGTAGTTCAGCCTAGCCTTGAACTCACTACAGTGTAGCCCAGGTTGGCCTTGAAATTCTTGTGTATTCCAGCCTTAGCCTCCCGAGTATAGGGATTATAGGAGTGCCCCATCGCACCCGGCCTCCCGGCCCCTATTATTAAAAAAAAAGTACATGGACACAGTGGTCAAGCTACTGATGAGGTCCAGCCAGGAGACTCACAAGTTCAAAGCCAGCCCGGCCAATTCAGGAAGATCCTACCTCAAAATAAGAAGGGCTGGGAATGTGTCTCAGCGGGAGCGCACCATGAGTCCAATCCCCAGGGATCAGAACAGAACAGCACGGCTCAGACTGGGCACAGGGGTGCACACCCATAATGCTAGCAACTCAGGACACTGAGGCAGGAGGGATTCTGAGATCAAGCCCAGCAAGGGCAGCGTATTAATACCTCACCTCAAAAAAGTAAAAACCTTAAATCTTGCTGAATTCTCTAGTGAAATAGCTCAGGTAATGTCATGATTACTTCTGTAAAAAAAAAAAAAATCTTGCTTCTTTGCTGCCTCAAAGAGAGAACACTTAACTAGTTTCCCCTTAATGCAACAGTTACGTAACTGTAATAAAATGCAAGCACCTTAGAAATAATTTGATGCGCATGTGTGTCACAGTGCCAGTGAGATGGGCCCAAGGCCAGGGCACCACCTCCTGCCCCGCAGTCCTGGAGCCCAGCTCCGGGGAGCAGTGGTGCCATTCGTGGAAGAGGGCAGCACCTCGCTCTGCCCCATCCAAACACCATGTGGCTGGCATTCTGTGACAATGTGGCGGCATCTGTGAGATCACCTTACACTTCTCATGTCTCAGACACCTGAGGCCGAGCAGCTGCAGCTGGAGCCCAGTTAATCATTCACCAGGCCACACAGGGCAGGAAACCCAACAGCTGGGTAAGGAAGCACCAGTATAACAGGCTCAGGTGCAAACAGCTCCCAAGCATGAGAAGCAGACTTGGAGCACAGCATGGACTTGAAAACAAACTTACAGCACACTGGTGGCAGGGCCTGGAGCAGCCTGGGGTCACCGTGTCAAAGGTCATGGGACAATGGTATGGGAACCACAGGGGGATGCAGAGCATGAGGCCACCTCAGGCCACCTCTATCACCAACATTTTGACTCCCAGGACAACTGCCCTCGAGGCTTCCGAGAGCACCTCATAAATCTGCCTCTCCCTGGGCAGAGGTACCCACCTACAGCAGACCAGGAGCCGCGTGCCTGTGCTCCTACATCTGACCCCATGCTGGATGGGTCACCTTCTTCCTCCCTCCTGCCATCCTCACCCTGCTAAGATGTGGCCCCGGCTCCGTCACCCTCTGCACCACAGAGGGTCCCCTTGGGGACGACATTGCGCCCAGGAGCCCTCAAGGTCCTGAGGCCAGGCCACCCACTCAGGCCCGTTTCACACATACTCCACCCTGTAAACTCAAACGCTCTGGCTCTGCTCCTGACCAGTCTGCCCCCAGCCCACTGCCTCCCCCACACCCTCACTGCAGTTGTCATCTGCCCTGTCACCAGAGCTCCTGGGACTCCCTCCTCAAAGCGGAGCCGCCGCCCTGTCAACACCACCTTCCCTGTGCCACCGACAGACTTCACTGAGCCCTCCAGCCACACCCAGCACCGGGCTGTCCAGGTCTCCTCCCACAGCTGCCTGGGTTGAGGGCACCATGTGGACAAATGCCAGGGTCTCAAGGGATCCCTGGGGTAAGCAAGGCCCAAGTACCACACTCATGGGGTCCCTCCCCCCAGCTGAGCTCGAGGCTTCCTGCCACCTCCATTTTGGCCAGCCCGCCCTGCACCCCACTTCTGTCATGGGCAGCTCTGCAGACTTCACCCCACCTTGGGAACTCGCACCCCCAGAATGCACAGGAACTGCAGGCCACCATACTCCTGTCCTGCTAGCGTCCGGGCTTCTGTCATCCAGGGGCTCTGGCAGGGTGGTGGAGCCCCCAGAGACCTGGTCCTCCTGCTCTTACGGCTGTAATTTCCAGTCCTTCCCTCTCTGTAAAACCCTGCCGCCAACTCCTGCCCTGGCTTCCCTCTGCACGACACCAGGCCTGTGGAGAGAACCACCCTGCCCCAGCCTCTGCCATGCCACTTCAGAGCATAGTCCCCCTCCATGCCTGCTCTCCCTCCCCACAGTCACCAGGAAAAGGGAAAGGCGCTGACACCTGTCCTGAGCCACACACTAGGACCACCTCCATCCACGCGCCTCAGGTGGCCTGGCCCATGCATATGACCCACCTACATCTCTGCTGGGTGGGCGCTCGTGACGGAGGAAGAAACGAACTTCATTCCGCTGACTTCCAAACCGCTGAAGAATGTCAAACATTCGCTCATTGTCAGCAACTGGACGTTCTGCAAGAAATGAGAAATCACATCACCTGCAGGAAGGAGAACCACCTCGGCCTGACGTGGGTCCCATGCTAGAGACAGAGGAGACACTTCACATCCTGCAGCGGGAGAAGAGGAAGTGGCTCCAATTTCCACAGCAACCGGTGTCAAGCCAGGCTGAGTCCAGGTAGAGGCAGTGTCCAGCGTCTCACCCAGCTCACGCCCTCCATGTCCAGGACCCCACGTGGGCTCCAGCTGAATCCACCATGCAGTGGGCTCCTCCTCACACACACTCAAAGAAAATATAACCAGCAACTCTCTAAACAGCATCCTGTTGTTTTTAGTAGTTTCTAATAACCTGGCAAACAAGTCTAAAAAGTCAGACTTATCCACTTGTGTTACACAAAAGGCTCCTAACTGCCAGGAAAGTGTCTGTCCCACACAACAGCCATGACACAGTGGGCGCTGTGTCCCTGTGAGTCCTCAAAAACCTTCCCAAACACAGGAACAGAAGTGGATATGAAAACCTAGCACACATGAGAAGGCAACCAAACTCCAGACCATGGCAACGTAATTCTTAGACGCGCCTGCTGAAAACCCAAGAAAACCAGAGTCTGACCAGGGATCAAAGACATCATCTCAGCACCTTAAATAAACAACATGGACAGAGACTGGACCAGGCACATGGCGGCCAGCTCTGCCCACTGAACCCAGCCTGCCCAAGGCACACACGGGGCCTGGCCCTCGGGTCCACAGGCAGAGAACCAGTCCCTCTCGAGCTGCAGAACCCTAAGGCATCCAGTGAGGAGAAGCTGCATACCTGGGGAGCTGCACCCCAGGGAAACGCTGAGGGGCCCCTCCATGCTACTATCACAAATGCAGGGTGGCATACACTGTCCTCAGAAGACATGGAGCAAAGCTAGGCTCACCTGAAACTACGGGTACTGGGAAGGCTGAGGCAGGAGGAAGTTCAAAGCCAGCCTAGGCAACTCAGCAAGACCTGAGTATCAGTCCCTTTCCCATCCCTGGGGCACCACAGCTGAACCCACAACTGAAAAGTAGAGGGGTTTAATTTAGCTCCCTCCAGAGAGCTCAATGCATGATCAGCAGCTCCAGGCAGGGGCATTGCGGCAGGAGCACTGTGTAGTTCTTGGCAGCCAGGAAATGCAACGGGAAGATGCTGGAGAACAAGGCCAGGGACCGGACGTGGACCCCAAGGCCCCTCTCTGTGACCCGCAGGGACACAGGCAGACGTGTGCACCTCAGCTCCTCTGGCCCCAAAGCCAGTCAAGCTGGCTTCACCCTAACTGCCACAGCTTGTCCTGGAGAGGCAGAAAGCAGGGAAGCTAATCCAGGTTCCCAGAGCTAAGAGGAAACAAGACGCAAAGCAACCCCAGCCCTGCAGGCTGCTCCAGCGACAGGGTCCAGGCCCTGGGGCAGCAGCGTGTGACAGTAGAACTCAAGTTGGCCTGTGCCCCAGAGGACATCAGGGGTCCCCAAGGCTCCAGTGCCCTCATCCTGTCCTGGTGTCCCGGGACACTGCAAATCGCTGCTCACATCACTCGTCCACAGCTCCCATGAGGGACAGACGCCTCGGCTGACACTGCTGCTTCCAGACACCTGAAGGCAGGGAACGCCCATCTCTGCAGCCCCAAATCACACACAATGCAGGCTTCCAAGGAGTGCAGGGCAGGGGAGGGGAGGCGAGGAGAGGGGAGGGGAAGAGAGGGGAGAAAGGAAGAGAAGGGAGAGTGGAGGGAGGGGAGAAGACGCTTCAACACTGCTGAATGAAACCACAGAAGACCCTGACAGCCTGGCGAAAGGATTTCCGTAGTGACACACAAAAGGCCTGAGATCCACAACAGTTTTCCAAATGCCTAAAAACCAAGATGAAAGGCAAGGACCAAAGGAAACCACAGTGAAGGATACTGAAAAACAAACTGAAAGCCTGACAGCAGTGGGGCTATGAGGTGGCCCAGGTGTTTTACATGCAGCTCGAACCTGCTGAACAGAAACCCAACCTGTACCACCAAGGAAAAGGTGAAAGAACAAAACCAGCAGGTGTTGTGGCACATGCATGTGATCCCAGCATGCGGGAGGCTGAGGCAGGAAGGCTGTCATGAGTTTGAGGCCAGCTTGGGCTACATCATGAGTTCAAGGCCAGCCTTAACTACACAGCGAAATCCTGCTGGAAAAAATGAAAAGGAAGAAAGAAAAGCCTACATGGCCAATTAAACAAATGAAAAGATGGGCACGTTCACATGTAATTTAAAAAAATACAAGTTTAAACAGAAGACCCTTTTCAGCTACCAGTTTAGCAGAAATCAAAATACTACTGTAATAGCTGTTAGTGGGGGCACTTTCAGGAATAAATGGAGAAGATGAGCTGGGGACGGATTCAGCAGCACACATCACAGTCCTCCAGCACAAACATTAACCAAAGAGCCTGTGGTGAGAAAGCCCCACACACACCTGGAGGAGCCCCAGCATTTATGGGCCAGGAGCAGAGTGAAGCCTTCATGACTAAAGGCCAGGTCACCTGCAGATGGGAAATGCCGTGACAGTTATGAATGATCAGGCAGATTCACAGTAGGGGCCTGAGAAGATGCACATGTTGTCCGATAACACAGAACTGCAGGACCCCGGCGAGGGAACAGCACAGTGACCACGGGAAGGAGGCCACCAGAAATGCTCAGGCATTCACTAACTCCTTCATAAAACAATCCCCAGCCCCCAGGCGCCCATGCTGGGGACGGGCAGAGGAGAAGCACAGGCTCTGCCCCGGAGCCCCTCGGACCTGCAGGCCTGGGGCCGAGGGGATGAAAGGGCAGCAAGCCAGCGAGCCCACAACACCCCAGGTGTGCACGTTTCGCAGAGGGTGAGAGCAGAGGCTGAGAAAGCGGCTTGCCTGGCTCAGAGTCCACAGAGCACCCCTGCTGCCTGTCCCGCAGGTCCCCACACCCACAGAAACCGAAGGGAAGCCTCCAACTTCCCATCCACAAGGCCCAACAGGCAAAACCGATCTCCAGCCAGACGCCCCTACAGCCTAGGAGCCAGTCTGGGCCTTTGTGTTTAACACCGCAGTGTCCTCCTCATGTTCCAGTGCATTTGGCAGAGCGCAGGACCCTCGTCTCTGTAGTGTACACACTGCCCCAGGGGCTGTGCCAGTCTCATACCCGAGCCGCGCCACACCTCGGCCAGGTGGCAGTCGCTCTCGCCAGTCTCCTTGCACAGCTCCACCAGGTCTCGGCCTGTGGTCTCGGGCGTGACGGGCACCTCTGTGAAGTGCTGCTCACTGTTGCTGAGGTACACGGTCAGGAACATCTGCAAACAGACACGCAGTCATGGCACGGCCATGGGGCCAGCCCAGCCAGGCCAGGGTCCCCATCCTCCCTGAGGCTCTGCAGAGCTCAGAACCCCAAGGCTTCACGCCAAGGGACATCGAATCCTCGTCTGCAGCTTTGTTCCGGCCATTTGCTGACCAAGTACTTCAGCAGTGCGTGCCAAACGCACACTACAAACTTGTCCCCAAATCCACCCTTTCCAGCACCAGGGACACGCACACAGACAGACGCATTCCCATAGCTCCCCGGATGGCACCCAGTGTGCAACACTTCCAGGCAGGGCTGCAAGAGGAGGCCACACAGTGGGGTGACCTTCGGCACCAGGGCTGGGCCGGCTGCTCCCCACCAAGAGCTCTCACAGGCTCACGACCCTGGCTCGGGGAAATCAAATCCTTACATCTGCTGCATACTCACCAGCCAAAAAAACTTTAAACCTAAAATATGGGGACCTGTGGGTGTCACACCCACTCTAAAGTACAAGATTTCATCATTAAGTAGAAATGGTGACCCCTTGTGCTAAAACTTACCTGACCTTTTATGTAAGTATTCAGGATAGCAGATAATTAAAACTCATTAAACATTTCCCCAAAACAGACACTGTCTCTTAAAAATAGTGCTACTAAAGAATCCACATTTTCCAGGCTCGGTATATAGCTGTGGTACATGTGCCAGGTAAGAACAAGGCCCGAGGTTCAATCCACAGCACCACTAATAACTAATAATAATTTACAGCTTTATACCTATTAAATTTCAAAAATATTCTGCTAATTCCCAATACCGAAGGTACTAAGTGCAACAGTAAGCAAATTTTTGGTGCTGATGCCACCTGGAGACCCACTGCATTCAATTTCATGAGTATCCACGCCACACAAGTCAGTGTGTCAGAAAAACAACAATGACACTTTGAAAGAGACACCCACTATGAGACTGATCCTCCAAAATAATTCTAATCAAAGGCATTCAAGGCCACAGGATATATGGGACACAGGCTTTAAAACAGAAGACCACACACTACACACTGGGGAAACTGGGATTTTACAACTCCAGAAAGAACAGAATGAGCAGGAGACACACTGCAGCCCCACACACAGGGACACACCTAGCGGCCAGGGGTCTGCCAGGGTTGTCCACCCTCCTGGCCAGCTTGGCCTCGTCTAAGAAGGCAGTGTGAGGTGCTCCTTGGGGGACAGTGGCACCACAGTAGGGCCGGTGACAGAAACTGGGCATCAGGGAGGGCCACAGGACGCAGTGGACAGAGGAAGTGCAGAGGGGACCTGACCTTTGCTAAAACCCACTCCCCTAAGGTACTGGGCACAGGGCCCCCAGCCATGAGAACATCAGTATCGTCCCGGAAGTCCAGAGGGTTAAGATCCAACACTGCTAGGCCAATGAATAAAACATGAAAGGAGGGGACTGAAGTTTCACAGCCTGAGCCAGGCTTTGGAGCTGATCCTCCCAGCCCTTCTGCATCCTGGAAAACTAAGGCACACACATACATAGTTGCAAGCCCTCTGTTAGAGAGAGGGGCCACTTAAAACTGCTACACTGAAACCAGAGTCCTGGCCACACCACTTCAAAAAACTAAAGATTAACTAGCTGGGGGGAAATCGAGAAACACACACCAGCCTTCCCAGCAGCGCCACCTCCCACCCACAGGATCTCCTCACAAACAGCAGCACTCTGGGGCCGCAGGTGTCCACTAAAGCACAGAGATCTCAGACTCCCTGCATGGGCACTACACGCCCAGAGTGCCAGCCTCTGCCAGGCCACTCTGCGACACACAGAGGCCCCCACCTTCCGAGCCGTCCCACAGAGCTGGCTGGAACATACCCTGGCTCTCAGGTGAACAGAGCGGGCATTGTTTTCTCTCTATAAAAGAAAAAGCCCCAGCGCCCCAATCTACCTGGCCACGGAGCGGCAGGTGGGTCAGGAACAGTTCTGCTCTCTGGTGTCTCCTCTGCCCACGAGTGTCCCCCTGCTTGGGATGGGACGGGATGAGATGGACCCAGAAACGCTCCCCAAACTGTGACTGAGCTCTGCTGAGTTTGGAAAAACCCGCAGCTGCTCACTTCAAAGTTCAGTCGCGAAGCAGAAGCGAAGGCAGTGTGGTGGCTCCTGTCTCTGCTCCTCCCCGGGACCACGAGCTCCCCAGGCTTCAGCAGGGCCCCGAAGTCCCTGAACAGGCCAGCAGTGTGACCCTGGCGCCGAGCCCAGGCCAGGTTCCAGTCTGAGCCAACTGCCTCTGGAAACCAGGCCTCCTCCCCTTCCCTCTCCTCCCCTTGCCTCTCCTCTGCTCTCAGAAACCTTCCCAGGGTGAGTCACCCACCTCCTCACACCACCATTAGTAAGTGCTCACCAGGTGACAACAGCCACAGCCCCGCCCACACCTGCTGCCAGCCCCAGCCTCCTCCGAGGAGCTCCGTAGACACTGGGCGAGCTCAGGCGGTTCCGGTTCCGAGATCCATGCTGCTGCTCTGCCCTGCTCGCCCCACCCCGCCCTGCGACAATGACGGCCACAATGACGCATGCAGGTGGCTCCTTCCTCTTCCTGCGTGTCTTACACAGGTGTCACCCTCTCTAACCCTCCCTACCCCGGCTCCCAGTGCCAGGCGTACACAGGGGCTCCTGTCCCACCCTCCACCTGCCACCTGCCACGCCGCACTATGCACTATCGGTACTTGGTTCTGTGACGCCAGGGATCCAGGGCTCTGTCCCCTGCTGGCTACTGTTTCGGGATGCAACAAGCACCAAGCGGACACACACATCCCTCGGCTGTGCTGCACTTCAGATGAGACACCAGCACACAGGGAGGTTAGTGACACCCCCCACCCGGGTCACACTGTAAAGCTGTGACTTCAGCCCGAGCTGACTTCCTCCAGGCCTGGGCTCAGCGAGGTGGGCCCTGGATGTGCCCTCCTCAAGGGCACCGGGCCACGCTCCCGGCTCCCAGCTCCCAGCTCCCAGCTTAGCCACCCACACGGTCCGGCCGGCTCCACCCACAGTACACCGCTTGTTTCCAGGACTCTCACAGGCTGAGACTCATAGCACACCCCGAAACCAGTGTGTCCTCACCTCTGGCTGGTCCTGGCATAGTCACCTGCCTCAGTCTCCACGCGTCTCTCTGCACAGCGCCTGGTGAGGCCACCCTGGGAGAGCACCAGCGCTGCCAGCACGCAGCCTCCAGCCTTCCCAGCCCCCATCTCCTCCTCCTCCCCACTGAGCACCCCAAAGGCCAGCTGGCTCAGCTGCACCCATCACAGGAAGGTGGACTGTGTGTCCACAGGCACCTTAGCCAGGAGCAACCTTCGAAGGAAACCAGGCAGGGGCTGGAAGCGAGCACAGAGCACCAGCAAGGGGAAGTCATCAACTGTCACCGCCAGCTGGGAAAGCCCTGCACAGGGAGCAGGCAGGGCCGCATCTCTGCCAACCCGGTCCTGCAGGGCCAGAGCCCGCTGAGGAGCAATGGGTGTTCCAGTGTCCGAGGCCCCCAGAGGGCAAGTGATGGCCGATACACGGCCATCGACCTAAGGGCTGCAGATGCTCAGTGAACCAAAGCCACTGAGCTGCACGTGGCAGAATGGCTGGTTCCACAGTGCAAGAATCACACTGCAGTTCAAAAGGTATCACAGGAGGCCTCTGAGCAGCGAGGCAACTGTGTCACCTGCAAAACCATCCTGGCTATTGTACAGCAGTGGCAGGACATTCAGGGAGACCAAGGAGGGGCAAAGCAAACGGAGCAGGGAAGAGATCCGAGTCTACAACACAGCCAAAAAGACACACCTGAGGAGCAGGACATGGGCTGGGACAGAGAAGGGGGCCTGCTCCCTAAGCTGGGGGGTGGGGGGGGTCCAGTTTAGTGAGAAGAGTAAGGAGGAGAAGGTTGGAGAAGGGCCCACAGGTCAAACTAAGTACATACCTATAACCCCAGTACTCAGGGAGGCTGAGGCAGGAGGACTCCAAGTTCCAGCCCAGGCTAGGCAATTCAGGCCCCTTGGTGAGAGCCTGTCTCAAAATTTTAAAAATTGTAAAAGGTTTGGGGTATAACTTAGTGTGAAAGCCCTGAGTTCAATTCCCCAAATGGACAAAACTTAAAAAAATAGAAAAGCCACAAGGCTAGGTGAGAGCAGCTGGGAACAGAGGGAAGCCCAGAGAGAAAGGATGGAGCCCTGTGGGCACCATGGCCCCGGGGCCAGAGCCCGAGAAGGTCCGCGCACGGGATGGGGGACAGGGTGATTGATGGCTGTGCCGCCATGATAACCCGGGGGACAAGGAGACCATGCGCCCCTCCTCCACACGGGCAGGGCAGGCAACAGAGCACAGGGAGGAGACCCAGCCCAGGCACAGTCTGGTTCTGTCTCAGATCCAAGGAGGAGCCACAGGCAGGAGGGACTGGAGCGGGGCAGACTCTGCTGGGGCAGAGGCCCTGCTGCTGCTGGCGCAGTGACCCTTCTCTCTCTTTCTCCACAGAGAAGGTGGCAGCAGCGGTGACAAAGGAGCCGCACTGGGCACAGTCACCCAGATCGCAGGGCTGGCAGGGCGTGGGCAGCAGCCATGGGCTCCCAATGCTACTGAGGCCACGGGTCTGTAGGCACCACCTCGATCTCCCAGAACTGCGGGATTAGAACACGCAAAGCCAGTCCCGTTACGGTCGGCTCTGAAGCTCACCTCAGCCAGGCTGGGCTCTGAAGGCTTCTAAGCGTGGCCTGAATGCGACCGGTGAACCCCTCCCTCAGCTCTTAAGGTCACCGGGCCATGAGGAGGGGCTCCAAGCTGTAACCCACAACTATTTCAGTTCTGCACAGAAAGTGAGATGGCGCTTCTCCAACAAGCAAGTTTTTATTTGGCAAAGAACAAAAATAAAAGGAGAAAAAGAGAATGAGAAGCAGAAGGGAGGAGGAGGAGCAAGGGACAAGGACGGGGAGGGAAACGGGAGGGGGAGGGGAAGGGGGAGGGGAAGGGGGAGGGGAGGGGAAGGGGGAG